GTGGGGAAAGCTTGCATCAAGGCTGGTTATACATGGATTTTCTTTTTAAAGAACAACTAGATTTTACTTGGGGCGGTGGCATACAAACAAAATCAGCTGTGAACAGGACAGCTGAGGCAGTTATTTGATTTGACTTCTGCTCTACAAGGTGGGAAGCCTCTCATCCCATTTCCAGGCATAGCCTCGCACTTCCAAGGTCAAGCGACTTGGTGTGTTGTGGTAGGAGCCAGGTAGCTGCAGTGGGGCAATGGTGCCTGCCCAGGAGAGCAGTTATAACTGGCCCAGGCTGTAGGGGCAACACTAGGCCTGACTGGTTAGAGTCCTTTGTGTTTTGATGTTGTTCTTCAGTGTTGTTTTGTAAACTTTATTTGGTTCCAAACATTGCTTTTTTGCCACGTGCAGGATGATGCCTCATTGAAAGGGATGCTTGTCTGGCCAGCCTGTCTTGGTTTGATGGCTCAGGCTCTAAAAGAGACACTAAAAGTGATGTAGTTTGGCACTTGTGCCTTGCCCCAGGCTCTTCTTCATCCTGTTTTCCTTCAGCAATCACTGTGGATCTGTGCTGTTGGCTAGGATGGCACAGCTTACCCTATACCCCCCATCCACCCCTGATGGCCACTTAACAGTGGTCATAGTTCTTGTGCTGCTCTCAGTAAAGCTCTGCCTAAAAAATCCCGTGGCAGGCTGTTACACTGTCTGTCTCTTCCATTGCACTGATTACTCTTGTTCCCCTGCTAGTGCTAAAGGATATTAGATTGAAAACTTGTAAGAAGAAATTATTAGCAAACTAGATTTAAACCATCACTTTTTTCTTTCTTTTTTGTTTCTTTTTTTTTTTTTTTTTTTTTTCATGGTTGGCTTTGCAAACTAATAATCTTTATTCTCTTGGGCTTGGGGCTGGTCACAAGAGCCTGCATTGTGATATTCAATTATTTACCATCCTTTTAAAAGAAAAGGTAATGTATGCAAGAGAGATGTAAGATCTGCTCTGATGACCACCCCTGCAGCTGGGACTTTAAAAGAACATTTTTATTAGGGCATTTGCTCTTGTGACGCCATTGCACCCAGAATCTGATTCCCATGTTTTCTCAAGGGAATATGAATTGGTTTTGCAGGTGTTTCAAACCAACTAAGGGCCTTGTCACCTTCCTCTCCAGATATGAGTTACTGCAATACATTTTCAAAGCCATTTTTCACTTTCTCATTATGTTTGACATTCTTGTTTCCCAAGCTTGAAGATTTGTCTGTTTCTGACCTCCTGGGCATAGTTACTTACCGGGATAGATTTCAATTTAGCATCTTATCCAGTTTTATTTTGACCTGTTCCTGTAATCTCTGGCACAAAGGAGAACCTGATTTGAAGTACAAAGGAGTCTGCCAGCAATGTAATGTAACATTCAAAACCATAGTAAATAATTGATAAATGTCATGCAGGAAAGTAATCTAAATTATTTTAGTCTTAAGTATTTTTGTTTGACTGCAATAGGGAATGGGGATGATGAGAGACCTCCTTGGAAGTGGTCATGCTAACCACAGCAAACAAAAAAAAAGCAGCTTGGGCATATTTTCTCAGAGCTGGCAAACCAGAATTATTGTCTCTGCTTTATGGATATACATATCCCAGTAAATACAGTGTAGATAAAGGTAAAATTCTCTTGTAAAAATGAAATAAAACAAAAAACTAAACCAGATTTACTACCATGGATTTCTATCACAAGTCAGAAAATTGCACATGCAGGCCGACTAATGTGTTGGGTTTGGGTTTTTTCTTTTTTTTTTTTTTTTCTTTAGTACAAGACTAGGACCTAACTGACCTGTGCTTACATCTAAATTGTTTTGATTTGTTTGGGATTCTGTTGGGTTTTGAAATCTGGATGCTGAGTGCACTGTTCTAGGACATTGTGTCAGGCATTTGGATAAAGAGTTCAACTTGTGTTTGTTCATGGTGATATTAGATGTTAAGAGGTTTATCCTGATGCCAGCTTCTTTGCCAAAAGCTCAGAAATCGGAGATCACCCTGTGTTTCACATGGTTCAGAAGACAGAACTCAAGCTTGGTTCTACTTTTTATTTCTACTTCTGTCATGGGCTCATTTAGTGGACCAAAAGGAAGGTTCCTCCATCAGTAAAACCTGGATCAAGAAACATCTGTCCTGGAGAGATCCAGCAGGATTACTGAAAACATTGCCCCATTATTACTATAGTGGTACTTTCTGAGTGTTTGGATGTACAGATGTGCCAGTGGTTTCCTATGCAACACCTCAGTGCATTAGCTGAGGCACCCAAAGTGTTTCTTTTCTCTTTAGTCTTCTACTTGAAGTATCTGCTAGTATCTCTAGTTTGCCTATTACCTCTCACATAAACTGTCTTTGCTGTTGGTTTTGTTTTTTTATCTTTTTTTTAACCCTCTCCCTTTTGCCAGATTATCCTATAGGTCTTATAGCCCTGGGATAAGCGAGAGGCCAGAGCATGTGATATAGATACTTTGAGACCTTCTGAGGTCAAGGACAAATGTTTGACTTGCTGAATTGTTCATCCCATCTGTAAAATGGTAGTGGTGACACTGGGTGCTCTCTTGGCACTCTGTCAAAAAATAACAATTAAGAAATGTCCAGCTTGGTATCAGGGGAGCTTTTAACTTTTAGTTGTTCACGGATGAATACAGTGTATCCAGTGGTAAACCTACATTTTGAAAACACCAGTTTTGAAATCCTATTTGTTATAAATGTTTATCATGGAGGGAGACTAGGGTGACTTGATGTCCATGCACCAATCTTTGGCACTTGTAATGGCAGAGGAAGGAAGAGCCTCACCAAAGCTGTGGGGCGAATGTGTGGGTGTTGCTCCTCCTCTGAGCCTCCAGGGGGTCTGATTTGTAGTGGGCTCTAGAGGGAGTTGAGAAAACTGATTGTGCTGGACCTAAAAGTCAGCCTTTCAAAATGGAACCATGATTACTTTCTTCTGATACATATATTTAGTAACAACTTATAGAGGAAGTTTTCATTACTGATCAATTAATAAAACCAAAAGCAATCTGTTAAATTTTGTCTACAAAACAATGCATTAAAAGGCCGCTGCCTTTCCTGGACTGTGTTCTGGAATCTGTCATATGAATTCAGTGACACCACTGAAATAGAGACAATGTTTGGGATTTAATGGTGCAGCTGTTTATTCCTTTTTTTTTTTTTTTTTTTCCCTTTTTAAGAAATATTTCTTGACAGCTGTTTTCTTTGCAAGTGTTCTTAACACTTTGTTCCTCAACAAAAGAAGCAGCACAAGTGTGCTCTGTATGAATACAAAGGAAGTTCACCTCCTTCACTGTGTGTTGACCTCTTCCTCTCACACCGGTGGCACCAGAAGCCACGCTAGTGTGACCCCACCATTAAGTGAGAAGGCAGCTGGGAGTCTGTACATGCAGGGAGAGTGTGAAATAGTGGAACAGTCCTTTCTGTGTTTACCCAGTTGCTGTTATACATTACTGAATGCTATTTAGGAGGAAATGAAAATCTTTCTAATGGGATCTAAATGAGACGTGTGGAGCAGCAGAAGGTAGTTTCCTGGAATGAAATTAGATCCGACTGTTGGGATTTAACACACTCTGTTTTGCCAGAAATGCCATAAGATTATTAAAGCATCACAACCTCATTTAGTTGCTTTGTAAGCTGCTCTTAACCTTCATGCTGATGAGGTTGTTGTGTAACAGACATGGAAGGCCAGGCCTTGTGCTGCTTCAGTGCATGGGAGCCCAAACCCAGAGACCCCGGGGAGGCCAGGTGGGAATGCTGGCTGCATTTTCACTTGTGAGATTATGTGGAAAGCTTGCCTTTGGGCTGTAGGTAGCATCCCTGAGTGCACAGAGACATACCCTAAAGGTTACTGTATGCTGCGATGCCTTATCGCTGAAACACTCCCGCTTTCAGGGAGCCCCATGACAATTTTCTTGACAGGGTTACTGGTCAACCCTTTCTTTTTCTGTACCTAAATTTTGGTTGCATATGGAAGTGTGTGTGACTGCTGTGAAGGTGTTTACTGTTTTCATTAAACATTTCCATTAAATTAAAGGTTTTTCTCCAGCAGGAGCATTCACTGATCCAACTTTAATCAAAAGAGAGATGTAGGTGATGGGGGAGACCACTTGATGAGTTTTTTAGAGGGATGAAACTGGAGCATCCATGCTGCTTGCATGCACCTGTAGATTGGGAAGACATTTTGAGTGCTGGCTAACCTGAAAGTGGTTGGAGAATGCCTAGCTTAAAAGCCCAACAAAAGTTTGGCTGTGAACCGCCACTCCGAGGAACCCTGCCCTGTGTCCCTGGAGGTGATTACAAGCAGTGGCTTTCATGCTGGGGGCTGGGGTGGTGGTGTCTGGATTTCAGTGGCAGTAAAGTGGTTACTTCACCATGTGACAGAATTTGTACAGTTCAATTCCTAAGGTTACCTTTGAGGACAGTTTTGAAAGTTATTTACTGGATTAAAAGTAGGTGACTTTTCTGCCATGTTTGTATTTTGTTTTTGTTTTGTTTTGTTTTGAGTTTTTTTGTTTGTTTGGGGGTTGGTGGTGTTTAGTTTGGTTGTGGTTTTTTTTTTTTTTTTTTTTTTTTTTTTTTTTTTTTAAATCCCATCTCTAATGAAAGCAAAGCCAAAAGTACTTTTCTCACTTTAATGGAGGGAGAAGTGCTTCACCTGTTTAGATGCTTCAAAACTCTGCACAGTGTCTACTTGTACCTTTCTCTGTCTCAGTAGCTTCATCCTCCTCCACCCCTGAAAGCCCAAACTCTGGCTAGGAGTGGTGTAGTGCTCATTTGTTAAAGTGTTTAGATCTCAGCTGCCACCAAAAAATGCCCCCAGCAGTTCAAAGTGGCTAAAATCCCAGGCCATCTGTGAAAACTGCAGTCCCTGCTGGCACGTACCAAGTATTTCAGGCACTTTCTCAGTTCTGCTCCTTTGCTTCATCAGTAACTGTAAAATAACCTTCTTTAAACAAAACCAAAGCATAATTTATTTTGCATTTACTTCTTTATTCTACAACACAAGCAACATAAATAGTTTATAATTTTTGTTTTAAAATATTTCCATTTCAGAATTCAGTCAGAATAAAATATACACAAAATACAATTTGCAAGCCAGCAAGGACCAAACAAAGCTAGCAGCACAACAGGACTCAGCGGACACAGTGAGGTGTTTTTCTAAAGAAGAGCAGAAAGGTAGAGGGAGGAAACATGGATGAGACCGGGGAATTGCGGCTAGGTATGAGCTCAGTAGAAGGTAAACCCAATGTAATTAGCACTTGCTTGACAAGGCAATTTACAGTCTCTCTTAGAAAGTATTAATGGCTCCTCCTGAATATACAGCTAGAGAGATGAAGTCCTGGGAATCGTGTTTTGTGGTAAAATGCTTCCTATGGCAGCCATCATCATGGAAATAGAAATTGATTTTTTTAATTTTCAAACAGGAAAGGCTTAGATCTTTGGCAAAATGGAGTGTCCACTCCCTTTGGCTCGCTTTCAGTTTTCAATTCTGGTTGAAGGACCCATGGCAATATGTTTGCAGTCTCACAAATAATGACAAAAAGGGGGGATGAAAAGAGAAAGTGTGTGGGGGGACTAGAAGTAAGCGCTTGCTGCTGTCATTACATACTTTTCAATATTTTGCTCCCATCTGTTTCAGCAAACAGCGTGCAGTACAGGGCTCTCGCCACCATGCTCTGCCCTACTTGGCTGTGTTCCCTTTGGTATCAAATCCTGCTTTCCTTGCAAACTGGGGGGGCTCAGGAGCCACAGCCTGCTTGTGGAGGTGATATTTGTCCCTTGCTTGAGCCTGTGTACCTGTGCCTCTCCACCAGCTCAGCTCTTGCTTCAGCTTGTTGTGGAAGTGTGGCACTTCACTGCATCCCAGATGAACCAAATGCATGGATAGGAAATAGGGCCCTGGTGCTCCATGGTATTTAGATGAAATTTATGAAAGTACATAACCACCTTTGAAAAGTGGGATGTTGGGGTAAAAGGATTGAAATAGTCATGTTTCTGAATAAAAAAATGCCTTCCATTACCTCAGTTCCCTGGTTCAGTGTGGCAGTGGAGACTATACAAGCCTCAACTTGTAAATTTAACAAAAATAAAGAGAATTTGAGGGATTTGGTCCTACAGGCAAACTCGTTATTGCATTAATCCAGGATCACACAGTGTAGCTCCATTGATATCCACAGAATTAGGGCATTTCTTTTTCCCTTTGCTTTTAGTTTTTAGCTTGGACACCTCTGTGCACTAAGTGAAAAGACTGGTGCATACTTAGGCCATGCTTTTTTGTTTTTTCTTTTTAATTACCCAGCACTCCATGTCTGGCCAAAGCTGTTTGTTTAGTATGGTATCATACAGTTAGTGTCACATTTAAAGTATATGTTCTGAGGGAAGCAACAGAAAGAGAAGCTACGACTTCTTGCTTGCAGCTGTACAACTTCTTGGAGTCCCCAGTGTGTTGCTGGTGAGGGCTGCTAAGAGACCCTTAGGTCATATCCCTATAGAAACTAGAAAATAGGGAGGATTGGTGAAGAGGGATCTCTAGCTGCCGGATGCTGTTATCTCCATTACATAAAATCCCACATTTGTGCTTCAGTGCTATGGTAACTTGGTCCTTTTATACTAAAGAGTGACTTTATTTTTTTTTTTTTAATTGATGGTATTGCATTATTTCTTCAAACAATTGTGGAATGATCAGAAATTGAAAAAATCTAACTGTATTTCGTGTCATATGCCATGATTAGCACTGTACATAGATCTGTACAGAAATTACCACAACCAGAGTAATGAGTAAATACCTTGCCTAAGCATAAGCTTAGCACACCTCAACAAAAGCAAGGGCAAGGAAAGAAAGCATTTCACCTTTTTTTTTTTTTTTTTTTTTTTTAATTAAGAACAATTTATCACTGAATGATGGCATTTCTAGAATGGATTGCTAAAGGTGAAAATAGCCAAACACATTCTCAGTTTCTGAATAAGCTTCTACACAAATGAGCTATGTAGAAATAAATTACTTTGGCTTTCTATGGTCAGCCTCCTACATGTTAAAACTGGATCTGTGCACAAGTGGAGGTTCTAGTTGTGGGGTGCTGGAATGAATGAGAATATGTGCTGTTTCCCGGGGATTTTTCAAGCAGAAGGTGTATAGAGGACAGCAGCAGAGAGGGTGACATCAGGAACTGTACAGGAATTCCCCCTTCCTGAGAACTTGTGAACCTGTATGTAGGGACTGAAGGATTCAAGCACTGAGTCCTGAGCATTAAAGATATCCAGGTAGGTAACTCGCAGTGACTTCAACAGCTTGGGCGCTTTGAGTGTGGGCCTAAGCTGTGAAAGAGGTGCAAAGTGCAGGCAGCATGAGGAGCTGGGACTCTACTTGCTAGCTCATTTGCCACTCAATTTCATACTTGTGCTGCATCAAACTCTGCATGGAGATACCAACAGTGAGATGCTACTGTATCAAGTGCAGATGGAGATTCATACGTTAACACAAGGTATTTAGAGGTGGGGGGATATACCTTTGGCAGGTGAGGATTTGTCAGGGAATTTTATAATAAGGTTTAGGTTTTAAACAAAACTTGAAGCTTAAATTTAAAGGCAAAGTACATTACAAGTCACAGGTGTAAACTCTGCTTGGCTTTCACAGGAATTATTTTATCTGTGATGAGGCAAAGCCTGTGTTGCCTGCACCTGGAGTTTTATAAGGAAAGTTTTGTGCAGGTCTATGTAAATCTTTCTCTAATTATTCTTTCTAGATGCTAAATTAAGTCAGTTATTCTCACATCAGTATTTATCCCTAGGAGAGTATTAAATCTGAATCTTAACACCTTAAGGATGTGAAAGCATGTTAACCAAGAGATAGTGGTGGTAATTCTATGGCTGCTGAATGCTCAGAAAAGACTACTGTGGGTTAGTTACCAGAACAACTGCATTAACTGTTGCTGATGTGACACAAATATTTAGAGAGCATGTTAACCATTCTGCTAATGTGGATATTGCTCTGTAAATATGCAGAATGCTCAGAGTATGACAGTGGTTGGAGCGACAGGAATCTATACATAAACATATCAATTGTCTCTTATATTTGCATATATTCTCACTACAGAATAAAGTGCAAATGTACACAGTCGCCTGAGACCACATCAGTTGGAGTCAAACCCCATTCCTGTTGTACAAGAACAGTAGCACTTTCCTGCCTGATGTTTTTTTCAGCTCTAAATATTTTCAGAGCGATGAGTTATTCCATGTGCATAAAGGTAGTTGATGCTGGCCAACAGCAACTTTCTCTGTTAGTGGCTGCCTACAAGATTTTAAAATGTGGTGGTGTTGTTTCTGATTGCTGTAGTGACCCTGAGGGTGGTGTGAACTAGGCAAAGGCTGCAGAAAGGCAGCTCTGGTACCTGAGAAGGATGTCAAATCTCCACACTTTTTTTCTTTTTTTTAAGTAGTTCAGTTAAATAAAAATTACTGACCATTCATTTTTAAAAATTATTATAGAAATTTATGTGACAAAAAAAGTAAGTGCAAGAAAAGAGAAGAATGTAGTCATTAACAAGATCAAAGAGAAAGGGCAAAGCTCAGGCTTATAGTACAGACTCTGTTTTTTCAAGGCTCAAATCTGATTCAGCAGTAAACCTGGTAATACGCTGCTGTTAGCTCATGCATTATGTTACGGGGCTGTAAGGATTTCAGCGGGTTATGTCAGAAAGACTTGCACGTGTGGATGCAAGGCCTACTGACTGAGGTGCTTGCCCACTCGCAAGTGGAAAGCAGAAAAGCTGCTACAGCATGGTACAGCTGGACATGACTGGAGTGTTCAGAGGTGGGGAGTCCAATTCTGAAGCTTAGGACAGGCTGGTTGGTGCTAGTATCCTTTTCCTGGGACTGTTCCTTTGAGCTAAAAGCTTGCTTTTTGAGGCCTGAATGTAGCATGCTGGCAGCCTTAAGCCCACAGTAGGCATGAAACAGATTGCACAGGTCCATGAAATGGTGACTTTGGAGGTTTAGTGCTGTACTTCTTTGGAGTTTGCTGATGTCTATGGCTAAATGAGTGAAAAAATAGCCAAGAATCTGATGAAGCAACTCATTTTTTTATTTATTTATATTCTGGAGGTGCATTAGAAGGCTTCTGCATCTCAGATTAATGGTTCCTGAAGTGGCCATGGTCCGCTCTCTTCACCTGCTTATCATTTTACATATAAGGAAGAGTAGCACATGTTAAACTTTGCTTATGTAAAGCCTTCTGCTTCAAAGATTTCTTCGCCCCTACTCCTGTCCTTTTAAATTACATTTCTGAAATTACTCAAAATTACTCATGACCTCTTACGGAGGGGTGTTAAGGAGCAGAGGCACCGAGGGTGACAATTGGTACATAGTGAATAATATGGAGGGCAACGTTTAAAACAGAGCAACAGCAATACATCAAATTTACTTCTACTCATTTCCAGTATGGTATTTGTAGTGTAAACAGTTTAAATGAAATTATATTTTGGGTCAAGATGGTGGCTAATCAAAAGTGTTCATCAGCTTGAGGGGGGAGTGTGGGTGATGATATTGTCACTCCTTGAGCTTTTCTTTCTGTTTTACAGAAGAATTTTGTATTGTAACCACAACAACACATAACCACCAATGCTAGGCCCTCTTTGGGAGTCCTGAGTGAGCCCATTGGTACTGCTATCAATTTTGCTTCTCCAACATAATTTAGGGATTTGTTTAGTTGTAGATTAGTACAGCAAGGATCTGCATCCATTCAGTGCATGTATAATGAAAAACAGCAGAGCTGGGTGTTTTGCATACAGTTTATTATTCTGATTTCTGTTGTCCCCTAATTAATGTACTGCTTTAAAAGCAGTTCTGTATAGATGCCCAATAAAAACATTAATGAAAACTATAACCACCTTTTTACTCTACCTAAAGATGTGTAAGAAAGACATGGCAACAGAAATCAAACCATGCCACCACTCTCCCATATACCAAGGGCTAATCTCACCTTTCCCCAGGGAAGTATTAAAACTGTTGGGGGAAATTTGACAATTGATAAAATTGTTAAATTACTCATTTATAAAGTCAACGTAGGTGGTAAGGAAGAGTTGTTTCTATGGAATTTTTATGTCCTTGAAACAATTCAGCAAAGAGAAGTTTTGAAAGAAAGGGAAACAGTGTGACTGACAGTACAGAAAGTTACGGGACAAATATTCCCTGCACAAGTCTAGCAGGTGACAAGTGGGAAGTGGACAATGGAGGGAAAAGGCAGCAGGATACTGGCAGACTTTGTAAAAAACATCAGTTGGGTGATGGCTGTTCAGTGAAGCCTCTTGGTTCCCTCTTTTTCTAGGTTTAAGCACTTGTGCGAAATCCAGGCTAGATATAAAGAGATGCCATTTTGAGGATGCTTTGGAGCAGGGACTGAAGCTGTATATTTAGTTGGTCTGCACATTTTTAAAAGCCTTGGGAGGATATCATTAAGGGGTCACCCAAGATTAAAATTAACTTATTTTTAACAAATTATTTCAACTTCTAATCAACAAATTATGTAGTATGGGAGTACAAGATGGCATGTCCCAGGGGCTGTGACATAACTTGTTCAGCAAGGTAACCCTTTGCTGTGTCTAGTGTTAAGAGCATCATATATGTATTTGTCAACACAACAGTCAATCTTTCCCCTTCTACTCCCCCTTAATAATGTCAGCAAATTGTATTAGTCCCTACAGGAGTGCTACACAGAGCAGGGTGTTGCTCCATAAGAATCTGTCCCCTTCTATTTACAGCAGCAGACAAGAAATGGGAGAGAAACAGGAAAGATACCTTCATTTCAGACTATTTTCCATCTTGATTCAGCTCAATGTGGAGTGATAGGCTAGGTTTAACAAAGGCGACAAGGGTGTTCTGGCTACAGCAGCTCTATATAAGCAAACATAAATTTCCAGTAGAAGCATAAGCTAACTTAGCTGAAGTGTTAGCTTAAACTTAGCTTAAATTGGAACACTTCATCTCTACTCTGTTTAGTTGAATGCTGAATATTGGCACATGCTGGTATTTGCTCTGTGGTGTGTCTTCCCCCCAGCTTCACAGGAAACAGCAAAATAAACTTCCCTGTTGCCCTCAGGGGGAATTAGATACACGGAAAAATGATCAGCTGTAGGCAGAGCTGAAGAGGCAGTCAGGGCAGTGTTGTAGAGAGGGCAGATTGACAGTGCCATTTCTCTTCAAGCAGTACTCCACAAGAGCAATGAAAGGATGAATAGTCTGTGCTTGGTTCCAGTTTTAGACCTGTGATATTTTAATAGTCACTTATTAGCTACTTTGAATGTGACCAGACTTCAAAGGCTCTTCTCAGAGCAAAATAAATTTCCACTTTCTTTAGCGAGTGAGGCATATAGTTACTACAATAATCTTTATTTGGCTTTCCTCTCTCATGCTATTTCAGAAGAGAAAAAAATTACCGTAAAAAATGTCACCTTTTTACTTGTCCTATAACCCCAAATTTTTCCTGACTTTTTTTTTTTTTTTTTTTAAGTTACATAGGCTTACTGGCCTGGTTTGATATCCAGATGACAGCTGTGTTCACAGCTAATTGCAAGTGTGGAAGAAAGTTCTGCTGCAGTTTATTGTGGCTCCCACTGTTGCAAATTTGAATTAAAATGAAGGCTACTGAAATGCATCACCCCTTTAGGTATCAGCCTGATTTACTGGCAGGTTCTGGGGCTATTCCAAACTCCCCTGGACACATTCATGCTTTGCCTCCTTTGCTAGTGTGAGTGAGGGACACACAGTTTCAAGTGGATAGAGGATATACATCGACAAGCTCATTGTTTCTTAATTTATCATCAACAAACAGGCAATTAATGAACCCCAAATACTTCTTTGCTGTATACCTTGGATGTCTTCTCCCCTTTGCAACAGAGCACAGCTAGGTTTAAATGATGATATCGTAAACTCGGCCCACTCTTCCCAGCCATTCTCGTACTGCCTGGCGGACACGGATATCTGTCACGTGGCAAGTCAGCTGGCTGATACAGGGGAACACCGCTGGCTGCAGGGCTGTGAAAGTTTGGTCCGGGAGGGCCTGAATCTGGTTGAGAACTGTCAGCACCATGTTGGTCCATGCCTACAAACAAATTGGAAACAAAAAAAAAGACTCTTTAGAAGACCTTTCTAAATAGATGAGCCCATTGATTAAGGCAGAAAATAAGGTATCTGGTGGTTGCAGCCTCAAGAAGAGGACTGAGTAATTCCAGCATATGCATTTAATGGTCACTGTGCCTTCCTAATTCATATACAGTACTGTAAGTCATTGTTTGACTTTGTACTGCAGGTATCATGCTTGCTCTTCATCACTGTTTATTTCATCCCACAGTGAACAAAGACTTTCAAGTGTGATGCTTTCATTGATTTGTTCACTTGGACACGCAAGCAGTAAATTTCTCTTTAGCAACAGAACACACCATTTCTGCTGTGGAATTAACCAAAAAACCTTCTTAAGTACAAAACCATTGTGACAAGTAGCATAACACTTTCAAAAGCCTTAAGTGGGCTAAAGCCCTTACAGTAAGCAATGAGTTCACTGTCAGCTGTTAGTTCTTAGGACAAAGTACAGCTTTGGCTCCACTCACAGAAATGCTCTTGAAAGCTGTACTAGTATATGCATGATAACACTTCCCTGAAGACTGATTTTCTTTTGAAAGGACAGAATCAGGTTTTTGTCAGTGGCAGCTGCTGCAATGTTCAGTCCTCACCATGACAACTTCTTTATGTAATGAAGGCATTTAATGAAGAGATTATAACCATTATAATAAAAGCAATAGAAAAAGATATTTATAGGTATCTTTTTAATTATTATTGTTATTAACATTCTACAGGTATGCCCTACCTGTATCTGGGCCTCGGCATCCCTAACAGATATATTCAGGGAGCTGACTGTGGATCCTGAGCGTGGTCTCTTCTCTTGTCTCAGAATCTCTGGCCCAGCACTGAATGAATGCCGCATTTGTCCTTGGTCTATAAGATGTTGTGGCCGCTGGAGTATGGGTGAGTCTGGCCCTCTTGAACCCAGGAGCTCCCCTTTCTTTTCCACTTTGACCTCTTTGGTGAAAGATGTCATAGCCTGTTGCTGCTTTCTTTTCTTGTATTCTGTCATGAGCTTGGAGATAGTTTTGTCAGTGGCTATGGTATAGATCTTGTTGCCAGCACTCTCCCACCATTCTTTTTTCCTGGTTTGCTCTTTTTTCTCTGGTTTAGGACTTAGGGCTGGGGGTAGCAGCAACATTTCTCCGCTCCCTCCTCGGGGTGTCAGGCTGTCTCCCAACTGGTCCCTGATTTGACTCCGGTCATCTTCTGATGGTGTGTCCTTCCCAGATTGCCCTCCAGTTGATGGGGTGGATGTTTCTGAGTGAAAGGATGGTAAAATGAAGAAAGGGTCACCTTTGAACACCGGAGGCTCCTCTACATTATTCTCAAGGTCCAGATGCATCTGGATATAGTTGTTGCACAGTTCCATACAGAGCTTATGAAGCCGCTTGATTAGCCAGCCCCAGTCTGCATTGCTGACAGGCTGTACACTCAGAGATGGTATTCGAGCCCTCCACTGTCTCTTCTCCTTCCCTCGTGGGGGACTGACCTGGGCAGTTTCTTCAAAAATGTCTTCATCTTCTGAAGAACACTGCTGTGACGAGTCTGTGCTTCTCTCATCATCTTCAAAGAGGATCTTTTTCACTTGCTCTGCAGTGATGTTCTCCTGGTTTGTCAGGATCGCACAAATCAAAGCATGGAAGTAGATGTTGAAGCTCATTGCTGACTGGCGATACAAGTTGGCAGCTCCACTAATGCCAGACACTTTTTTCAGCAAACACTTCAACCCAGGTCTGGTGTCAAACTCCCTGGCTGTCCTATAGGAGTCCAGCAGTAAGTCAAAGATGACAGCCAGGTTTTGCATGGAGATGTACCTGAGAAAACCAGCCAACTTGTTTTCTGGTACTTGTATTGTCATTTTCTCCTCCAAGTTAGAAGGGCCTTTCACAAATTCTTCCAGTAAGATGTCATATAAATTCTGGAGCAGTACTTGGTGGGACAGCAAACTCACCACTATCGTCCTGAAAGGAATACTTGGTAAACCAAGCACAGGAAGGAAAATAATAAAATAAAATTAAAATGGTGCATTGTGCTTTTACTGGAAGTACAGGAATACTTCATATTTTAGAATCTAACACCAAAGATGCAAACGAAAGGCTAAATTTTCACAGCCTTGTTACAAAAAAGTGGAGGAAAATAAAGCTGTCTTTCAGCTACTCTTTCAAATACTTTCCTAGAAAGGAAGTCATTTACATTGGTTAAGAAAAATAACTGTCCACAGCAAGTACACTAATAGCACTTGTGCAGAGGTGGTATTAAAACAAAGCTCTATTGTAATTTTTGTCATTTTCTCCAGAGATGTCTAACACTGAGGGATTAAATATTCTGTGTTTCAATTTCATGGCAGCTGCAAGTACTCTCAATATTTCAGCATGCTATAACTGAGGAATTTGTTAACACACAAGTTATTCAGCACTTCTGCCATCAGTCCCTGACTGCATTTTCTATTTTTGTTGTTGAACTTTGGCTAAGTTGAAATATCCTTAAAATTCCTCCACCAGCATTTCAGCCAACCTTAACTTTGCCATGACAAATCAAGGTGAAAACTAGGTTACTACTTAGTTTCCATTTCCACTAATGCCAGGAGCACTTCTTAAAAATAAAACCCAAAGAGCCAATCAACCAACCAGTAAAAAAAATCTACAGAAACATCAGCAGTGCAATGGAGCATGCAAGGAAGCTTAAGTCTTGCTGAAGGCACATTTCACTGTTTGCTCTTAAGACTTCAACTTGAATGCTGAGAGCCTAGCATGGAAATATCTATTCCTAACCTATACCTGTTTCTCACATATAATACTGGGTGATTCTTAGTTGTGTTCCTGTTAAAGAGATGATGTGAGTTGTTCTAGATCTCACTGATTTTTTGATTTGCACAGGGAACCTAGGAATGGCAAATTCTTCCAACCAAAGTTTTCAGGTCATTCACTTGTAAATGACAATGAGAGGCTTGACAGGCAAGGGAGGCTAGGAAGAAAGGGTGGACAGGATTGTTGTTTGGTATCTCATGGATTTATAAACTGTGACACCTATCTTAAAGCATTTAAAAAAAGTCTTCGTGTAAGATTACAGCGGTGATGCTTTAACTGGAGCTGATGCTCTGGTACTCATAGTGCTACTTGTTTTGATTTAGGGAACTATGATGGGTTGCATTTTAATTAGTACTGCCATCAAGCGAGGAAGACATTTTTCAGTTTGCTTGCAATACTGAAGTTTTAGGTCTAAGTCAAAGGAAATCTTCATGTAACATGAGATGTTCAGCTGTAGACTTTTAAATTTTATTTGTTGCAAAAATTATTCTACTTTTAATAAACAACTTTCAAAAGTGTTTTCAACATACCAAAATAAGAAGTCTAATTTTTTTTTTTGAGAAATCATATCAAAACTCAGTTTTGAGAATGCAACATTTAAAAAAAAAAAATAAAAAGGTTAGACAAAAGTGTGTTGTTTGGGTTAATTTACCTATGTCAGTTGGGTCAGTTGGCTTACTATGACACAGCTGTCACTGCTGATACCTCAGGAAAATTTAGTGGTCTTATTATCTGACACTGCTAAAATTTTGGTGATTAATACATACATTGGAGCTCTTTATGGGGAAGTAGTTTGCTGCTGTAAAAATCATTAGAGGCTCTGACTCAGAAAAGCTCTCAAGAGCATGCATAAAGTTAAATGAGTGCTTGCATTGATTTCAAGAGACTAATCCTGTTCCAAAAGCAGGATCAGAAGGAGATCTGTTTTCCTTGCAATAGCCAAAAAGGCAATTTACAAAGACAGTGTTGTCGTTTTAAGTTTAAAGTACTGCTCAGTATCAAAAGAAACCAGTACAGACCTATAGGTGAAAACACACAGTGCCAAACCTGGTTAAGGACAGTATTTTCTTATTCTGCCCAGAGTTTCAAACTGAAATATATTATTACTTTTTAAGATGAAGAAAAACTCCCTTACCCCAGCTTCCTGTGAAACGATGCAGCATTAAGGAAACAAAAGCAAAAAACGAGAAGAGAAACCCCACTAAAGTTAAAGTAAAACTTTTGAAAGGCCACAGTTACTAGCATGCAAGACTGGCATATTACTGCACTGCTGTAGCAAATAATATGAAAAACAGTGGCACAGTCAACTTTTGAGCCCTGTTTTGGTGAAAAATAAGCATTGCTGGGGTAACATTTCCCTATCAGCATATACACTTTTTGCAGTTGTTTAGACAGAGCGCAGGGTGAGAGCATTCAGAGTTTGTATTAATTGCAAGGTTTATTTATTTATTTGTTTAAAGACAAGCAAGTCCCATGCTACCTTTACGAATGCAGCCTGTTAGATAGCATGGCCTTATGTGCCTTGAGAGGGGAGTACTCCAGTCTTTTGCTCTGCATTCATTGTAACAAGAAGAATGATTCTGCAAACCTTTGGATAAAGTAGGTATTTTCCCACCACGAAGGGTTTAAGACTGTGATCTCAACCTTTCTTTGTTTCTGCACAGGGCCCTGTTCTCTGAAGGCGAGGCAACAGAGCACCTGCTCCTGGGGGAAACTTCTGTACAGCTGTGTAAGAATAGAGACATCTTGCATGGTCTTTCTTCCTGTCCATCCGAAGAAGGACCATCACATTCTGGCTCCTTGTTACAAGCAATAGTTTAGTGTTGAACGAGAACGCCTGAAGTGGTACAGAAGCAGGTTTGGTATCTAGTAAAAGACAAGTTCATGCCATGTATTACATATCTTGCAATACAAACACAAACCCCGAATGCTGAATTCTAATTCTTGGCCCTATTGATGTTACAGCAGTTGTTTAAACAACTGAATGCAAGCAAAAAGAAATATTCTTTGACAGGATCAGATTGTCATGCAAATGCATGAGTTTCTGAGGTGGTAACACATAGAAGGGCTTCCACAAAAATAAAATGCCAAGCAAAAACAATGTTCCCTAGATCAATCTGTTGACAGTTTCACAGCTTTGGATCCAGTCTCTTCAATTTATACTGCTCCAGTTTATTCATTAACTTTTTCTACCTTCTTAATCCAGTAATACTGAATTTAAAAGATCGTTAATGAAGCAAACATTATTTCATTTGTTAGGTGTCATTGCAAACATATCAGTACTTCCAAAGCTTTCTTCAAATTGGTATTTTTAACTCTACTTCTTAAAGAAAAGAATTTCAATATTGGAAAGTTTACCCTAGTATTTTCTATGGGAATTATTTTCTTAATTTAATCGGCATTTCCTCTACTTGAAAGCTTTGTGTGACCTCGTGTATCCTTCAGGTATTTGTAACCTACCAATTTTCACTATCTAAAATAAGCATTTTCCTTATTTAGCTTTCTAAGGGCCACATTATAGACCCTGACACAGGCTTTTCTATAACTGTAACAGCTCTTGCACGTGCCTGCTCACTGGTGTATGATCATGGGAACATCTGGAGAGCAGACAGTAGTAACCTATTGTCTCCTGTGCCACAAAACCTAATTTTTATTTGATCAATGTATTTCATTGTTTTGATGAGACCTGTGGAGAGGCATGCCAGCCTGACAATATTTTTATCTTGCTTTTAATGACACAGTATTTTCCTCAGAAGATATTTTACCTTCTTTGGGTATGCCCATTTGGTTTCTTATCTGGTGGCAAGTCAATGATGAGCACGCATGACTGGGCATGTTCAAATCCTTCCTTGTTGCTAGGGGTCTTTGGGGAGCATTGAGTCTCCAGCATGAAGACCTAGAAAATAACAGGTTACATTAAAAAAGTCAGTTTACCACTTGCACTGGGTCCTTGGGGGGGGGGGGGGGGGGGGGGAGGTGAGAATAGGATTTCCTGCATTGTGAAAGATCTGTTATGATGACTTATTTTACAGTGATGGAGAGGATGCAAGGTATCCCTCCCAGGTAGACCTTTCTTGGAGAATGCTTCTTTGATAAAACAGTCTTGGAGCCATGGGCTACCTCCAGACATCCAGCAGAGAACAGGGCAAAGGACAGACATCTTTTCTTTGAACTTGTATAATACCAAACGCTGAAACAAGCTTTCTGCTGTCTGTATACTACTGTCAGAAAACATCATGTATAGTGGAGACAATGATCTGTTTGCATAGTTAGCCTGTTGTACCTAGAAAGGTTGGTTGTTGAAAGGATTATTTTCAGCCACAAGATACAACAGACATCTAACTTGCAATAGATTGGGTGGTAAATAGGACAACAACTCAGTTGCTGTAGCTTTGTTTTGTACCTTAGTAGCTGTGTCAAATCCCCACTGAGGACTCAGGGAGTGCCATTGATAGTGTCCAGAAGAAAAGTATAAATGCTACATTCCTTGATTTCTTGAGTTCTGCATCTTCAAAACTCAAAACATTTTTTCTATTCAGACAAAGTCTGCCACTGCCACATTATTTGTTATCACAAATCCTGGTCTGTATGTCTCAAGATTTTCAAGCAATATCAGGGAGAGATTAATCAAATCAGAAATTGACACCAAACATCTGTTGGCTCTTTTAATCCAGCTGCTTTTCCATGCTGAAGCTCTCACACAGTATTTACAGTTTTATGGTACCCTGCAGGTCATTAAGTTCAGTCTGCTGTATTTCAAGGAACTTGTTTCATATAACCACTTCCATAAAATGAACAACCTCCATTGTAGTCCTGAGAATGTTGTCTCCAAGCTTGCTCTGCTGATTAGGAGTTAGTGGCGAGTTTTAAATCATTTGTTAAATGTCAGAATTATCCTCCAGTTCTCTGTAATTCTTTTTCTTCTCTGCAACCTATAGCCTGGTATTTATAAAGAAAAAAATCTGCATTCCTTTTCAAACTCTGCTTTGATAGGTTGAACAAATCTTGGTTTTCTAGTTTTGTATCACAGTCTCTGTTCTAGTGCATTTTTTGTCCTTTGAATTTATCATTCTTTAACAGAGTAATCAGAAATGTATACGACATTCTAGATGAGGCTTCATAGTGACACTACTATTTCCCTTTCTCCATCAGAAACATTTCCACTGTTGTATGCTAGGGTTGCCTGTTTTAAAGCTGCATTACACAATAGGCTCATTGTCAGTTCTCCTCAGGTACCTATGCAACTTCCCCCACCCTAGGCATTCTTAATTCCTACTCACAGGGGGACAATTTTAGTTTTTTTTTTTGTTTTGTTTTGTTGTGTTTTTTTTTCCTAGTTTTTATTACTTTTTCTCAATACTACAGTGTTAGACAAATAAATGTTAGTCTGGTGATGAGAAAGTCTTTGGCCAGGGAATTGTGAGGAAGGTGGTGGTAAAGATGTACTTTCATAAAGAAAAGCCTCAAGTTCAAAAGGTTTCCTGACTTCCCCTGAAACGTCAGTCAGTACCTGTTGTGCCATGGCTCTGATTCTCCAGTATTCAGCTTCAGCACTTGGCGAGAGGGAGGGGGCTGCCACCTTCACTTCACAGGCATCTCCACTGAAGCTTTCAGAACCACTGTGGAAATAGCCCAACAGGTTCTATAGAGAGACACAACATCAGACTTTCACTGTGTGTTAAATGAAGCCAGTGACTGTAGTTCTGTCCACCCTGTTCATGTGTAATACCAGATTGAGTGATCTGTCCCATTACCATCAGCCGGTCACCTGCTGCTTAGCATTTGATGTATCTGATGCAAAGGCGTTACAACTTCTCATGTACTCTGGCCTGTGATGACTTAACAGGATTTTTTGTTACAAGAATAGTCAGTTGAGAAATAATCTATATGGAACATGCAGCTACAGGATCAAGTAAGCAACTTTGTCTTCTGTCTAGTTTTAGCCAATCCAGAGGAAGAAATGGATCAAAAGGTAAGTTTTCACCTACTTAACTCCTGTTTCCATACTGTCAGGGCAACTTAGAGTAAGTCTGAATTGTTAGCAACTAGTGTTGTCTGTACATGTTTAGAAAAAATGATTTCAATCTCCATTGCTGATCTGACACCCTTCACTGTGAATTGACAAAGTAACAAAAGATACCACATAATCCTTACGCTTCTTTTCCTGGCTCTGTACCCAAAAACTTTTCTGAAAAAGAAAAATCAACCTGTCAAAAGTTAATGAATCTGTAACTAGTGTGATTATATTCTGACTGTCAGCAAAAAGTCAGTTTACCTTTACTGGCTCCAGAGTAGCAGAGAATGCATCCTGCAAGGCACAACATGCAAGCCTCCACATCTCTTCAGTAAAAACAGGCCCTGCTGTCACTAACACATACCTGCAAGGACACAGGGAAACATTACCATGTTCAAGAAGGAACTAGACAATTCTTACCTGTAATGGGAGAAGGTTGAAAACAGAACAAAAGGCCTATTCAGTAGCTGGCTAACAATATCCAATCTCCTCAGTTGTTACCCTGACATATTTTTGTAATTACACTATAGTTTTGACTCCTTTTTTCTTTTGCTTTTCCTCTTTAAGTAGTCATCTTGCACAAGAACCACACGTTGTGTAACTTATTTAATGCAGTGCTTATTTTGATTATGACTGTAATAACCTGAAGACCATGAAAGGTATTAATTACCTCTAAAGACCTGTAAATTCCAACAGAAAGACCCTTGATTATTTTTCCTAAGGATTAATTATTGACTAACTGCATATAAATAATGTACAAGTGCTTTTTATGGGAATCATACGCACAGTAATGCCTAAAATCATAGGTTCTGAAGCAGACCAAAAGCAGCAAGAAAAGGTTTGTAAGTCTAAAATTAATTTTTCAAGTAAAAAGAAATAGATATATTGTAGACTCCTTTTGAGACGTTGGCCAAATTAATCAGTCCACAAGTTCTTCAAAGAAATAAAGACATCTTTTTTTTGAATATGCTAAGAGAGTTAACAGACTGTGTTACCTGATACAAGAGCAGCCAACTCTGGAAATAATTTCTGTTGGTTCTGCTACACAGGCTACCAGCAGCTTGAAAAGATCTTTCAGCATAGTATTGATCATATTTTCATAACCAATATCTATAAGGAAAAGACACAGACTGGTTTTAACATCGCTTTTTCATTATAATTAGAGATAAACAGTCTTGCTATAATTACTGCTATTGAGAGACTTTACAAAAGCAATGTTTTTATGCAGCTATCACTAGAGTTCCATTTTGAAACATGCACCCCATCAAACTGAAATAAAAACAATCCTTTTCATGTTAACAATACAAAATGTCTGGACTTAAATGGTACTGGAGAAATTCTGTTAGATCCTGTTTCTGATATTTTATTTCCTTATGATCAAAGTCTTAATATCTTCTTTTTGAAATTATAACATAGACTACGATGATTTAATTTTGAAGATAGCTCTGCTCTGCTCAGGAGGCTGGACTAAATAACTTTCATAGATCCCTTACAAGTTAATTTTGTCCATAATTCTAAACCCTATAAAGAAAGAAAAACCCTCAAACAAATTTTCAACCTTCCTCCTCTTATTTTATGCTTGAGCAACCAAAAAGCAATGAAAACATCTATCCAAATAGCTATTCAGTAACACACCACTGATGACTGTCAGTAGATGTGACAGTACAATGACATACCTGAGTGTATGAAATTTTGAATGTGCTCCACTACGAGTTCACAGGAAAGGCCAATGGCATGCTTGAAATTAGCAGATGCCACATCCCAGTAAGAATGGTCACCATGGCTGCGATGGAGCCAAAGAGACATCGTGGGTAGAAGAAGATGCACAACTGCATAAATGCCAAATCCTGGTCCTTAAAGTAAACACAGTGTTAGTTGTATATTTTTGCTTACAAAGCCTACACGCACAGTATGTTTGTTGTTTCAAGCTTGAAGCCAGGGGTGATGCTAAAAAAAGCAGGTTCTGGAACTTTTTTTTGTGGGATGAGCAGGGTAAGCAGTTTTGGATCTAGTTGTGAGGTAGTATATGAACATTTAGCCAACCATTTACCTGATGTCTTTCCCAGCAGGTCTACAAGACTATATAATTTTCTGTCTCCTGAACACCAGGCAAATGTTTTCTGTGGCTAGGACATCAATTGAGTATTGCACCTCTTTATTTGTGCAATAAATTTAAGAGTAAGTTTAACATACTCTTGCAAGATGCCTTTTGTCAACACAGAACAATGCACTAACTGGAACAACAGATCACGCTCTAAGAAAATCCCTTTTTACTTGAGAATGTCTCTGTGCAGCTCTAGCATGAGTAACACACTTTAGGAAAGTGGTTTAGCATTCTAAGGGGTTTGGGTCAGGGCTCTACTAGCTCCCATTTTATCAAGCTCTTTCATTACCAGGTGTCTTGGCAATGTCCCTCAGCAGTTCAAAGAGCAGATCCAAAGTAGGAGGCTGGTGCTGACGAGGACAGTTGGATATGGCAGTTGTTAATTCTTCCAGCAGAATAATCCAGACATTGATAAGGCCTACAAATATGGAAACGGATTAAAAATCATAAGTGAGAAACTGCATTGACCACAGGTGGAACTTCCCTCAAAGTGATGTAGGCCAAGAAATTAATTCACTTAAAGATCATGGGTTCTTGCATAATCATTGTTGCTATGTAATGGTTGTGAGCAATAGCAATTTTTGAAATTACTGTCTCCTTTTCCTTCCCTATTTATTAAGTTTGTGTTTTGCCCCTTCCTTCCTCCTCCACATACACATTGTTCTTGTCTTCTTTCTTAGTTTACAACTCCCACTAGTCCAGTCTCTTTAACCTTGGTGGGGTTTTTATTTTTTTAATGGGACATTTTACACATCTCAATACCAGTGCAAACGCTGCCCAGAAAGGATTGTAAGGATCCTAAGGTGACTAGCCGTAATTTAACTGGCTATTTGGTACCCAGAATTGAACAGTAATAATGCCTCATGAAGTATCATCAAACTGCCTCACACTGTCTTTAGATGTTAATAGGTCACAGACAGAAGAGTATTAAAAGTGGATATGGCAGAGCTGGACAACTATCAGAACAGCAGTTAGGACACAGGTAGCACTGTGAGTTCATGCCTACGCATATCCCTAAAAGATTATGGGATACAACCAGTCTTCAGTACATTTTTGAAGAACTGCTACCCTTTAATTTTTCACAGAGCACTTAAGTACTTGATAGTTGCCTGTGGTATTATAAATGACTAGAAGGATCTTGCATTTTACACTCATAATGATCCTGAAATGTATAATGTTATTCTCGAGCTAAGTCTCCTTAAAAGGCTATGGGTTTATTAGCCTAAAATGGATTTTACTTTTTCACTAATAAGCCCATCTTCTCTGCCACTGCTAGCCATGCTGATGTAGTCTGTGTCTGTATGATGATTGCTGGCTAATTATGTTCAAAAAGCAATAAAAAAGGCTGCAAGAGACCTTTGTTTAAGATGCACTGAGTTTGCTGACTGCAAGTCTTCCTGAGAATCAAGGAAAAAAGTGAAATCATTACTTAGTAACTGGGTTGATTATTTATTCACACCACTTCCACAGGGTGGTATATATGGTGACATTGTGTGGAGTCATACAGATTTTAATGATGTTCAAGTTAAGGAAACAGCACAAATCACGCAGCACCAAATCTGGGTATCTTCAAATGTGGAAGAACTGAGTATCTTTTAGAAACATCCCGTTTGGCATGGAATCAAATATACTATGAAAATACACTGCACCACCATATGGCAAAGTAGGCTAAAACACCTCGCCCTGTCTTGGTACTGACTTTCAGCACTAGAGTGCCAGGTGAAGCGCTGTCTTCTGTCTTTGTAAAGTTAGTTTATCTAACAGTGGTCTAATACCGTTACCAGCTAAATAAAAATTGGGTGAAAGTTTCAGCACTTAGCTCTGACAAGAACAAAATCAGAAGGTTTCTTTGCTGCAGGGTGGCATTTCTGTTCACAGCAAGCAAGACACATATAGGCAGAGACACTTCAGAACAGTAGGCAAGTGGTGGTTACCTGAGGTGGGGAGACCCTAGGTCAAGTCCCAAGCCTGAGGCAAAGCGGAGACTTTAGTGACTTGGGTCTCCCACATCCCAGGTGAGCATCCTAAAATTTCCAGAGAGGAAAAAAACCCCAAATATAGAAAGAATAAAGTAAAAGCATGTTTTTTTGGTTTTTTTTTTGTTTTTTTTAAAAAAAAAAAAAACCAACACTAGGACTTGTGGTTTGCTTTTTTTCAGAGGGCAGCTTTTCTCTCCTGTATCCAGGGTAGCAGTGGAACAGGACAATCCATGTGGCAGAAGAGCCTAGATAAAAGTAGGTACCAAGAGTCATTCTGGTGAAGCATGTGAGTAAAATGCACTGGAGTCAGCCTGCTTTCTGCCTGGCTGGTGCTGGCTCATCACAGAGGCACCCAGGTCAGAACAGCTCAGTAGTTCAGATATTCAAAAGTGACTGTATTGCCTCAAAAGGCCATCATGAGTCCCAAAGCAGTGGGGCTGCATTCCTCTACTGCTTGCCTCAACACAGATCTAGTTCATTAAACACCTGATTAATCCACAACCCATATAAGCCACACCAACGATCAGGAATAAAATGCTGTTTGTTTTTCTGGAGGTCATAGTGCTTTTTATGCACTTTAGAAATACACCATTTAGTTAAACAGACCACAGGACATAAGTTTGGAAACATATTTAAACAAGTATTCTTTGTTTCTAAACTCTAACTCAACACTGGTATTTTTTCTGTTAAAGGAAGGTCTGCCAATACCAACCTTAAAAGGTTTTCACTCCTTTACTTCAGCTGTGGTCCAGAAAGTATTTTTGTGTTAGCTCTCAGAAATACATACTGGTTGTATTATGAATATCAGGATAATTTCATTATTATTAATTAGAATATTATTACCTTGTCCCAAGAAAGGAGTTGTATCTTTCTCATATATGAACTGTATCTTTTAATATAAAGGTGGTGACGTGACCTGAACTTCCAAGTTCTGTATGTGTACATGTGTGTGTGTAGACAACAGGGAGACAATAAACTAAGAAATTTTTCCCCTCCTTTTCGCTTTCAGCAGTTGAGAAAATTTACAGTGACATGCAGAAGCAGCAACTGATTAATTCTGCATTTACTGCTATCAATACACTTACCAGTGTCATCATCAAAGTCAGAAAGGATGCACTCAATACCATCCTCACTGCTGGCTGACTGTTCCTGCACTCTTCGGGGCAAGTTAACCAGCCGGCCACTGAGGAAGATGGGTTTCAAGGGCATTTTATAGATTTTGGCTAACAACTTGGGGGGGGTGGGGAGGGCAGGAGAGAAAGGAAAAAAAAAGAGAAGATAAATATAGATGGGAAAGTTTGTAAAAGCTATCACATACAACACAGGTATGTAAAATAAAACAAAAGCTATGAAAGCAGCATAATGTTCACATCTGTTCTGTTCATCTAGCAGTAGCGTAAATGAAAGACACTATTGAGGCCAGAAGTCTTCTGTTCATTGACAACTCTCCACTTTTGTAAGACCTCATCTGCAGTGCTGTGTTCAGCTCTGGGGCCCCCAGTATAAGAAGGACATGGACCTGCTCAAGCAATTCCAGAGGAGGCCATGAAGATGCTCAGGGGGCTGGAGCACCTCCCCTATGAGGACAGGCTGAGAGCATCAGAGTTGTTCAGCCTGGAGAAGAGAAGGCCCTTATAGTGTCCTTCCAGTGATTAAAGGGGGCCTACAGGAAAGTGTAGGGATAGGACAAGGGGTGATGGATTTAGACTGAAAGAGGGTAGATTTAGATGAGATATAAGGATGAAATTTTCCTGTGCGGGTGGTCAGACACTGGCACAGGGTGTCCAGAGCAGCTGTGGCTGCCCCCTCCCTGGAAGGGTTCAAGGCCAGGCTGGACGGGGCTGGGAGCAACCTGGGCTGGGGGAAGGTGTCCCTGCCCATGGCAGGAGGGTTGGAACTAGATGATCTTTGGAGGTTCCTCCCAACCCAAACCATTCTATGATTCTGTGAAGTAGGGGGTCAGGGGGGAGAAAGAGAGGAAGAAAAGCAATTTAAGTAACACAACTAGGGGGAAAGGAGTGTGCTCCCTCCTCATTTGTGAAGGATGTGTTACTACTTACTGACTGTACCTATGACCTAAGAAGCTCCACTAGCTGTACGTAGAATATTTCAAAGTTCTGAAGGACTAAGTAAATACTGATAAAAGGACCTGTACAGGTTTATTACAGAGCTTCATTGCCTGGGTTGTCCATTACACATCAAATCCAAACTCTGCAGAATTGTGCTAGAGCTGGGATGTTACTGATATTTTACCAGGCCTTTCTAAAGTAAACCACGTATTTGCAATATGCAGACAGGATTTCTTTTCAGTCATTCCTGTTCTTTTGCTACTGGCAAGTTAAAAGGTAAACAAGATAAAAATGGCTTCTTCTTTTAAAGAGGAAGAAATATTTCTGCCTCACTGTGAACTGGGGTTTGTAAGGATGAGGAAGAGTGATGTGATGCACACAGTATACAGATAGAACATACATTATATATATATATATATAGAGAGAGAGATTCACTATTTTTTTTTTTAGGTGAACAAGACAGAAAGTACAGTTTGATATGTCAGCTGTTTATTACACTGAACTGCTTTATTCCTTCCTTCTCCTCTCAGTCTGTGTACTGAATCTACACATTATCCCTGAATTTAGATATTAAGTCCTTTCAGCTATGTTAATATCCTTTGTTATGCATTTGTATTGTACCCAGAAAAAACATGGCCTGGGTCCAACAAAAAGATCTGCAGGTACTACAGAAATACAAGCAACATTATAAAATCAGACAAGAAACATCCTAATAACCCTGGATAAAAATCTGTACTGTGTGCAAGGAGATTACAGGAAACATGCCAGCATTCTAACTGTTAGAGATTTGCCCTGAGCTTCAGATATGTTTTCATAGTACAGATAAGATGCTTCTGCATTTTAGAGGGTGTAACCTGTTGCTCTTCTTAAGATCTGAGAATTCTCAGTGTGGTCATTTTTTTTCTCCTTCATTCCCAACACTGTTTACAGAAACGGTTTAAATAAGAATGAGCATATCTTTGAATATGTTACTACTAGGTTTTGAACATTCACATTTTCCCACATGCTCCTTGGGTCTGAGTGTTTTTATCTCCTCCGTTTTCCCACCATTAGCTGGCCTAGAAGGTATGTGACTCGTTCAGATTGCCACTCTCCACCTGGCAGTGCAGGTTATTACCACCAGGCTCACCACAGATTCTATTCTGCTCATGCAAACCACCTAACCACTGATGCAAAAGCCTGGAGGTTAGAACTGGTTCCTAGGCCAGGTTAGTACCTGTATAAGATTGTTCATCATACCTGAGAACATCTCCTGAGGTAATCAAGCGCGGGAAGGCACAAGTCTGTAGATGCAGATCCTGATCCTGGCATACAGTCACCCATCTCCTTACAATCTACTTCCCCTAGGGATAGGAAAGGCAGCACGCGGAAGGACAGAATAGAAACAAACACAGCATTAGTTTTCCTTTTTCATTCAGTTGTGCCTTAATGTCTGAATGGAATCCAGAAAATATCCTTTGTTTGATCTTATTAGATTACAACCAGATGATCCCCATACAAACAGTACAGCAACATTTGTCACAGTTTATACATCGACTTTTATATGAATAAATGCTTTAATAAATACATGCCTATTTAATAACTCTTTAGTAGAGTCTTTGAGACTTCTTATAATAAAACCTTATAGTCATCTGTCATATTGACTCCATTCCACTTTTTTCCATGGGTGTATGAATTACTTGCTTATATTCGCCCTTTGCTCAATTACTATACTATTTTTTTTTCTATTCATTTACACCTCAGTGCCCTGGAAAATTCTTCTACCACAAGTTCTTCCTTTTAGTTTATTTACTCCTTAAAGACTCCATTTAATATTTTGTGCTACAATATTTCCTTCTCCTGTCTAATTTAGGTTTCAAAGTCTCAGTTTCAACAGTACGATATCCTCAGGCTCTAGTATCTCAGGTACTAATAACTCTGGGCATCAGCAGACTCCTACTTTTAGGTCAGCCTCACTAAGTGTACTGAATAAGTAGATCAGTTACGAGGCACCCTGTTGCAGAGTTCCTCCTTGGGTAACTCCATTCACTCCAGCATTTTCCCTGTCTGCACAGTCTGTTTTCCTCCCCTCTCAGCCAATGTTCTGTCCATCCTAGAATACTTGGCTCATAACCATTTTTCCAGTTTAGCTAAATACTTCCCATTCAGCACCAAATCTGAAGCTTTACTAAATGCCTATATACATTAACATGTTATTGCCTTAAAAACTATTCCTCTCATAAAATCCACAAGATAAATATTAAATCCTTTATTAAATCCTACTTTCCTTTCTCTACATTTATTTGTTTCTTCTGGGCCCTTAACTATTCCCTCCATAATGTATTTTAAAGTCTTGTCTACTACTGAGATCAGCCACGTCAGCCAGTGAAGTTTGAATCCTTGATGTTTAAATGTACATAAATGGCAATATATTTGCTATTGCTCAGTACTGAAGTATCCCATAGTCCTACTACCTTTAATACAAAAAAAGATCTTGCTTTTTGACATGTAACTATAAAGGGGACAAACTTATCTCATGAAAGTGAGAAACCTAGAGGCTTTTAAGTTCTGCAGAAGGAACATGAGTTCCCTCTACTGGTACTAGACATGTAAGTTTGTTTTCCTTCTGTAGTAATAATCACAATTTTGATCTGTCATCACAAGCTGAATCCTATCCCCACTGAAATCAATGGTGAAATAGCTTAATAAATGAGAGTAACATTAAAGACTAGATCTGCTGCAGTTATGTGCTTCATTTAAAACAAAGGGAGTCACTTACAGACCTAGATACCTCTGCGAATTAATATACATATTTAAAAAAAAAAAAAAAATCCCCATTTTACCACTCATTAGAAGTTTTGCAATTTACATAAGGAAAAAAAAAATCATTGCCACAGTTCAATGAAAAGCGTCAAATTCTGATGATCAAGGCAGGTCAGGGAATGTGAACATGGGGGCAGAATGACCCAACACCACTGGCCTTTCTTCTGAAGTTTGGTGAAGGACCACAATTACTCTGCAGTCACCTTGACTTGGCATGCCTGGTCTCTGCTGCCCTCAGTAACACAAAAAAAAAGACTAATCATGGGGACAGCGTGCTGGTCGTTGCAATGCTCATGGTCTCAATGAAGGTTCAGCAGGTTTTCAGCATTGCATATGCCAAACTACTGTTGCTGAGCTGGGCAAGGGTAGAAAGAAGCCATGTGGCTTTGCTGAATATAAAACATACCCTGTTCTGCTGCAGACAATCCATGTTGTCACTGCACAATATCGAGCCATTTCTGCAATATTTTGGGGTTTGGTTGGTTTTTTTTGTTGTTGTTGTTTTGTTTTTTTATGGTTTTGTTTTGTTTTGTCTTTTTTTTTTTTTAACTTATTTAAATGAATATAAGCAAGTCCTGATGCAAATTAAGATCAAATGAAGCAGACATTTAATAGTGAGATGCATCTCTGCTGCTATAACAACTTGAAGAACTGATAGCATTAAAAATGTTTCTGAAATAATTCCTTGGTCTTGATTTTATTTTTTTAATGAATTCTGGACTCAATTTCTTCACTGCCTCTCTCTTCCCTACCATATTACGTATTACATTATTGAATTCTCCTCTTTTGCAGGATCAAGCTTGACATATTATGACTTAATAGGATCAAAAGAAAATAAAAATATTTACCCAGTCCTTTGACAAACTTCATAAGGCACATAATGTAACTGGTGGCAGCATTGGCAAAGACCTGGATGCTGTCTGTATTTAGAAATGCTTCAAAGACATCAAACACCGGAGCCTGGCGTTTCCCTGTGGAAATAATAAGATGAGAACTCTTCCCCATCCCCCATAAAGGTGGTTTTCCGACAGTTTTTCAACAATTTAAGTGAATCTGTAGAACCTCTTCTATTCTGGGCAGAAACAAATGATCTTAGAATTAAAACCTGAGGCAACTTGTGTAGCCCTTCATAGGAAGTAATACAGATTCCCTCCTTTGCCTTATCTATGAAAAATATCAGTCTATCCCTGCCCAAATGGTAAGAGTAGTTCTGAGCTCTTGAACTCAGCTCAGTAGGTAACACTTCTGTTCAGGGGAGGTTTCTGATTTAGTTCTTGATAACTGCCAAGATGACAGCAGTCACATGGAAAGCTATTCAGAGTATACAGTAACAAAATAGCCTTGCTTCTCCTAAGTATATTATCAGGCTTCAAAAGCTGTAGATACTTGCATTTTGCCATAGATCATAACAGATCTGAAAGAAAAATTTAAGAGGAAAACCATATCCCTTACATGTGACTTGTAACATTTAAAAATACCTTCTAAAGGGGCAAAAGAACAGACTAAAGTGATTGTCTTATATTATCCAATTTCCATACAAGCAAACATCTCTGGGAGAGATGCAGAATCATTCTTACAGCAAACATGGTTTGTAATAGTGCTAGCAACTTGAAGCCTTATGATTAAGTGCCTGGACAAGCACTTGCCTAGATTATCACACTAAGTTACCCTGATGTATAAGAACAATAGATTTCACATAGTAAGAAAGACAGTCCACATGAGACGTGGTGGTTGTATACACTATGATTTTCTTTCTCTAGCAGGACAGTGACAGGGGCCCAGCCAAGCTCAGTACTCCTGTACTACTGTTTTGCTCAAAAATATTCAAGTAGATTCAAAGCATTTCTTTCTCATTTTACTCATCTGCCAGAATCTAGAGGATAAAAAGTCAGAGCAATACCTCTGCTCTCCCTCCCCCCCCAACTAATAAACCAGACATTCCAGTACAGTCCTGGAGTATTGCAACACCACTTTTCAGGTAGGGCATTTAAATATATTGAGTTGGTTACTGTGTCCCCAAGGAATATGACAGGGAAATAAAAGCACATATGAAACAATTGGTGCAGTAAGTCCTTACCCATAGAGTATTCTCCTACAAGGTACTCTTTAACCTCTGACTTGCTGCTGCTGTGCACTGTTTCCAGGGCACTGAACAGGGGTCTCCACCCTGACTGGATCTGGGTAGAACACATTTCCACCAACTCTCCTATAGATGTGACCACCTGCAGATGATGTAGGATAGGTTACAAGAATAAAGCCAAAACCCAGAACTGATACATATATGGACCTTCAGAAGGAATGAGGATGGCTTTAAACACATTCCTAGATTTCATTTTAATTAAATCAGTCTAGACTAATTTTTTTTTTTTTAATATAATAGAAAAGTTTAATTTAATTGCTGAGGTGTACTGTCAGTTGTACTGTCTCTGTGCTCTACCACAATGCTGGCTTAGGTAGGCAGAGCCCTCCTGATTCCCTGAGGATGACTAAGGGGCACCATTTGAAGGGAATTTGGGAAACACTCTCGAGTGGACCAAGTGAACTCTGAAGACCATCCTTCTTATGGGCATGGTAGACCAGACACAGACACCCTGATCTGGGCTGACTTGCCTGGTCTTGGACATCCTCGTCACAGAGCTCCAGTTGCATGATACGCTCAAAGGGGCGGAAAAGCGCCTCATTAAAGTGAAAATGAGAAGGCTCATTCCAATCTGACAACACTTCAGTGAGGATGTCATGGATGAAGGAGACAGCCTTCCGAGACACATGTCTCTCCTTATGACAGGCAGCCTGCAGGGAAAGGAGGAAAATTAGAGTTTGTCCAAGCAAAAAATATGCTGTTAGTGAGACACTTTTAAGGGAGATAAGCACTTCATGTTGCTGAACCCTAAAAATGGCTTCACCACTGATGTGACCAGGGACCCCACTGCAATGAAAATGGGAGAGTACTGCTATGGAAACAGACGACAGAGACTCTGAACTGCTTGGGGGTCCCACAGATGCATGAAGGTTTGCAGACAATTCAAAAAACACAGAGCTATAAATAACTAAATAAATAAATAGAACCCACAGAACAGAACTTGTGTGAAATGCTGTCTATCATTTCTACCATATGACCATTTTTCCCTTCAAAAAGGTAGTTTCTGGATATATTCACCATATCTATCTATGTATGGCCAAATGCCACGTTTTATTTGGCTATTTGTGGAACTTAAAGTGAGAAGGTTCTCATCACTTTTGGAAGAGCTATTAAAAAATTAAACACCAGTGGATCTGGATATAAAGTTACTGTTTTGAGCAACTGTGCAGGTTATGCTAAATTGTGTCCTTTTCCTGATGTTCCTCCTTCTCAGTAATGCTCTCATCTGCACTAAAGTCAACCCAAAAGACTGACCAGCCCTGCATTCTAAAAACATGGAAGGTATTTGAGTTTAAATTGGCTTAGGATCTTAAAAGTGTTCAAAACATGGAAGTATTTAAAGAGGTCTCAGGCTGGCATCCAAACACAAGTGAGACACTAGTTTTCAAGATAAAGGGCTGTTAAAGCATACAGCAAAACTATTCACTGTTATTTCTACTTCATTTAGAGGGATTCTACCGAGACTCCCCAAAGTCTGAACTCTGCTGTAAGACAGACCACACATTTTCTTGAGTCAATGAAATGAACTGCTATGGCAATTTACTGAAGAGCTCATCTTAAAACTCCAGAGAAACATGTTCCCAATAGACCCGGGCAGATGACACCACATACCTCAACAACAGAAAGAAATAAAGTACTGCATATTTATTTACACCAATGACACAAATTAGATAAGCTCTGATTAGTCAAGACCCCGACATTTCACCAGATAAGAGTGAAAGTTTGGCTGAGGAAAGGTCATGTTTTATAACTTAAGCCCATTATGTAGCTGTTACTGGCAAGCTACTGACCAGGGTTCACAAGGAAGAAGGAAAGGGAAAACTGTCACCATCTTCCCAGTTGAGCTGGCTTTACGTGGGAAAAGAAAGCCTGCATCCTTTTATGGGAAGATTTTCAAGGATACAGACCTTGACAGGGAAAGCAAGTAGATGTAGGAGTTACTTGTAATATCTTAGGGTGGTTTCAGTTTTTCCATCACAGACATACCGGAAGTATTGTATTTCAAAAATCCAACACACTGTCACTGGACCTTTTATTTAAAAGTACACTCCTCAGTGGCAGCATCACAATATATGACACAGTATATGCAATACCCCAATGGGAGTGTAACCAGATTTCACAATGTTGAAGGTTGATAGAGATTTTAAGAGCTATCAAGCCTTCTCCAGCTTTTTCAGCTTTGCCATGTCTTGCACACATTCCCATTTTCTCCCCCACTCCTACCTCTACAAGGTGAGGTGCTACCAGGCTCCAGCAGCGCATGAGGTGGAGCAACGGGCGAGATTTACTCCTCACAATTCTGAGCATGACATCACCAAGTCGGAACAAGTGAAGTGCACTTCTCCTGTCCTGGATAGATTTTACTTCACCTACAAGAAAGTATAAGAAAATAAATGGAAGCTAAGCAACAGCAGTTCCTCCACTTGTAGATGTCTAAATTGGAATTTAAATCAGCTTAGAAATTAATAGTATTAAGTTGGGGGGCGGGGGGGGGTGGGGTGGGGGTAGGGAGGGTGGTGAAGAAAAAAAATAAAAATCAGTGTAAAACACAGCCTATGCCTGTGTAGGTAAAAGAACAGGAGACAGACCCAAGTTTTAAGAACAACTTATTGAACACAGCTTATTTTAAGTGATTTTTTTTGCAAACATTTTAAAGACAAAGGCTTGGCAAAGTACTGTAGAAAAGTTAAGCAACAATTTAGATAATTGATATTAAGACCCAAAATAGTAGTTGCAAAAATCTTTGGTGACATCTGCAGGGAAGAATATAAACTGCAAATTCTTTAGTTTTGGTTTGTCCTTTTGTACTTATCACTCAAAGGATATGAAGCAGAGTATGTGAGAAAATACTTTTCTGTCCCCCAGCCAGTAATACTTGTTTCCTACTGAAAGGGATTCAACTTCCATTGTTCATACAACATTTCATTCTCTCATCTAAAATATCTTGGTCCTTTTATCTCTAGCAAAAGACAATCAGGGGGCATACCACTTCTAATATTTAAAAAAAAAAAAAGCAATTAATTGCTCCATCCTAATTTTAATTTAATTACTACTAACTACTGTTGTTTGACTACTACAAACATAAGATCATCACTATTTAATAAAGTGATGAATGTTTTGGCCTGGAGACAAGCAAGAACAGAAAAGGAACAACTTAAAGTGTCACACTGGGAAAATGACAAGTAGCACTTCAGGGAGAGGGGAAACTGATTAAATTGGAGACATACCAGATAAAATCCATGTCTGCCACAGGACAGAACAAACCCATATGACTAATGTCACTTCTAAAGGCACAATACAAATTTAAGTGATATATCTTTCTTTGGGTCCAATTCTTCTGCTTTATTTGAGACAGTGATGGAAACAACAATTTACAGGCTTTGTACTGTAAGGTATATGCTTCACTCTGCCAGGGAAGTGCAAGCAGGACAAATCCCACTTAACATTCTTCAGTTGTGAGCTGTGTTTGCTATTACCCATTTTCTGAACACTTCCAAGGATATCCCATTGTCAAATGACTAACCTAAATCATCTGTCTTAGGTCTACGTTCACCCAGGTTTCCCTACTGGATCTGGCTCCAAAATGGAGCTATGATTAAATATCTGTGGACAATTAACACCCCAAAGTCCAAGAATGAAATTAATGTCCTCTGAAGTGTTTCATTGCAGGTGTGGATGTGGTGTCTGTCCAAAACCAGCGCTCAACCTTTCCTAAAGACTTTGAATTGCTCCTACAGAAAGATCTTACTAGACTACATACTGTGTTTTATTTATACCTTGTAATTTCAGTTGGAAAAATTAAAACTGTAAAAAACAAAGCAAGTCCTGTAAGTAGTGCAGTTGTGTATGAAACACCGAACTCTGAAAGGGATCCTCAGGAAAGTTACCTGGCATTGCTAGGGAGTAATCAACTGTATCTGTGACTGAATGGAAAAGCTGGGCCTGAGAAGCCTTCTTGAGCTGGTAAAGGAAGCCTGCCAGTGCCATCAAGTTTAACTTGTCAGCAGCGTCTTCAAAGAGCCTGTGAGTAAAAGAACAGAATCTTACTGAAAAATTCATGAGATGCAGACTTAAATGTCTACATAAAAGGAAACCCCTTATCTGTACATGACTGCTATGTGTTGCCTTTGGTGACACACGGGGTTATTGAGGGCTTTTTCATTTATACAGTGCTACAGGAAGACTTTGATCCAGAAGCTTTATTACTTGGAGGTTGGAAAGTAGGGTGCTGTAGGACCAACCAGAAAACAAAAAAACCACAAGGATTCTGGTTCCTGACAGGGCTGCTTTTACCTGTCAGCTTGCGTGGAGAGCGTGAGAACAGCCTTGGCAGCACTGGTCCCACACAGCAGGCTGCCTCCACGGAAGTCAAAAGCTCTGCCCTTACTGCTCTCCTTGATGAGTTCCTGGATAGAAACTGGCTGAATGACAGGGTTGCTGCTGAGGGTGGTCTCCTGCTCAGGGGTCAGAACCTGGGGAGACTCCCCAGGCTCGGAGTCTGGGTGCAGCCCTCCAGGTGCCTGCTGCGACTGGGTGATGGTAAGGGAGGGCTGGGAAGCACCATCACTGAAGTGGGTGTGCTCCAGCGTGCTGATGTACTCACACACCCTGAGAACAAACAAGAGAAGCAAAAGATGAATAAAACCCCCAAAACAACAACTCCTCCCCCTGCTAATCACCAGGCTTACTGAAGAAACACTTGGGTCTGTACTCCAGAGGTAAGTCAGAAGGATAGTGCAAGTACAGCTCTTGGCTGCCTCTCAGCCCCACCACTGTGGGCTTCCAGGTTACATGGAAACCTGTTGCCAATTCACAGGCACTGATTTCTACATCTGAACCAGATATCATGCACAGGACTTCTTCCTCAAATCATAAACAGACGATCTCTAGCTCTCAGACGACACATAGATAACCTGTTTTCTTACATCCTTTGGCTTCCTGTGTGCCTAGACAGCAATTAGTTTAGTGGAGGTGTCTGAAAAGCCCGTTTAGGTTCCTGGGTCTGCTACAGTCTTCTGCTAACTTTGAAATTTCTAAGCACTGATTTTGTCTCTGAATAGTGGTGGAAAACAGCACCATGTTTTCTCTTACAGATACCAGCAGCTAATTCACTCTGACACTATTTATACAGAACACTCCCACAGCATGTAAAGTTCTTTTTGTAAGACCATTACTTTCAGGCAACATGGCATAAATTCTGTTTCTTTTGGGAAAGCTGATGAGTACCTGAACACATGAGGCCAACAGTCCTGATTGTGGCTTCCCATCTCCAGGCCCACATTAAGGACTGCATCCATACACAAAACATGAGCAGTGTGCAGGCAGACTCCCTGCACTTTCCCCATCTGCTCCAGTTTCTGCTCCACTTTCTGTTTCACTGCAGCATGAAAATAAATAAAAAAAAAATCAGTAGCTTCTCCAGCTTTTAAACAAACAGTGGTTTGTATATACAGTGATGGCAAAAGTGTACAGTCTGAAAGCTATAAAAGAATGTGGATTTTAGACAAAAAAACAAATCAGAGAACCCAATTTCTTCCCAATAAACATACGGCAGTTTTAAAATTAAATCCCTTTGATTGATCTTAAATGTATGAAAAAAAATCTATGCCAGATTGACACTCTCCACCCCCATTTGCTGCCCACATAACAGATGTAGATTGCCAGTGATATTACATGTTTCTCTTTGGAGCTGGATGGGTGGATATTTATTTATTTTTACCAAAATCTCCTTTGCTACAGAAAAAAAACCCAAGCGTTTGCATATTTCACATCTATTTCCATACAAAAGTTTCACCAAAGAACTTTTGTTAGTAGATACTCTTGTCAAAGCAAAACTAATCTTGATCTGAACTACAAGCATGTGTACATCGTTCTTTTTCCTGAAAATCTCTGAAAATATTGGTTTTCATGCTGTATGGAATGGAAACAAATTTTAAAGCTTTGCAGGCTTTCATAGAACAGATCTGTTGGTCTCTGGCCACCACTAGTGCCTGCTCTTTGCTTCAGCGTGGCCTGGCTAACTCGCTTCAGTGATATCTAGCAGTGTGGTCAAAAGCTAGTTTGTGCTCAGGCCTATTCAGTTTTGTTTTCTCTATCAAGACACCAAATTTAAGTGCTAAACAGGGTCATTTGTGCAATGCTCTGTTTTGTTATGGGTTGCTTGCCATGAGAAATCAGATGTCATCAGACACATTTTATGTGCTTCTCCAAAGAGCCACTGGAGACAACAATTGAATTTACTGACTTCCACTGCACTTGAAGTAGTGGTATAGAGATGCAGAACTTTTTACATGTTAGAAATATATTTTTTTTTTATTCCAGCTTCATTTAACATGATTCAGAAACAGTTAAATACCTGATGATGACAAAAGACAACTAAAGATGTACACACAAGACCTCTGGTTGTAACTAGTATCAGAAGACTTAAAAAGTGCACACTTCAAAAATGCTGTTGGTTTATCTGTCCCACTGATTCCAGTTCCATATAAAATATAATTAGTGTGACATAATGTTAAGAACGTAGGACAGCAGAACATGTCCTGAAGCCTCTAGACATACATCTCATATGCCTACAAGTGAACAGTGCACAGGAGTGGCATTTCCCTCTGTCCTTCTTCTATGCGTAGCAAAGTACTTTCCAGTTGCATCTTTGCAGACAATATGAGATAAGATAGGTAATTTAATCACTCAGTAACCTTGAGCTATAGTATCACTGGGCTCTTGAATTTCTTTTTCCTCTTTCTCTTCTTGGACACAGGAGGCAGCAGCCATTTGGGCAAGAGCAGATGCACAGTTAGCAGCAACTCCTGTAAGGCAGAAATACACTTAGTGTTTAATCAGCACTTCCTCCCCAGTCCCCTACAATCTTGACAACAGGTTGTGTCGAGGAAAGTTGGCTGGATACGTCTATGCTGCAGGGCAGGTGCACTCTATGGGGAGTCCTACAGCCCAGGTTCCTATCCAAGACTGGAACAGGATGCTGCTTTTCTCTCTCCCAAATTCATTCAAGGGAAGTTACCATCCTATTTTATGAGTCTGCCACAACATCCCACATGCAGCAGTACCTAGAGCACAGCTCAGTCGGGCCGCCCTCCTCAGTCCATCCAGGCTTACGCAGATGGAGTCCTTCTCCTTTTGGTTCTGCTCCTTGGCTCCTTCTGCTCCCAAGATGAAGGCCAGCCCCTTGGAGCTGCCTGCCATGCGGCCAGTCAGTGGTGTGGACAAAGTGTCAATCAAGTTCTTCCAACAGCCGATTAAAAGGTATCGGGCAAAAGCAACTCCTGTAGTGAGAAACACATTACTAATGCCACTGGAAAATGATGCAACAGCAGCTTTATCATCAGTGGTAAAAAAGCAAGTCACATTTGTCCTCTGTATGCTGCACTGCCAATTTATGTGTAGGATGTACTGACATGCTTCCCTCAACCCTTAAATTGTTGTTCTAAAACACAATTTATCTGAACATGCTTATGGTATATAGCAATCCACTGCTGGTAGATACACTTGTGCTTATAATACAGTCTTAATACCTGCAACAACAGAATCATCTGTCTTCCGGTTTTGGGAAAGAGGAGATTGAGCTGAAGCAGATGCCATCAATTGGCCACCAATTGCACTGCTTCCCAAGCCATCGATGTCTGTCAGAACATTAAAAACCAACAGATTACTATTCAACGCACAGATGGTGTAAAGAAAGCATCTCTTACTGGCTCTTTGTTCACATAAGTACTAGCACTCCTGACTTCTCAGGTTTGCTTTTTAGCTGCTCTTTCCTGGCACCCTTCTGAAGCCTCGGCATAAAAATGAGTTGTGGCATCTTATGCTTTGCCCAGTATAACCAACATTTTCTTGAAAAGGGCAAATATCCCACTCTGAAAAGCCTCCTCCCCCCGCGCTGAAGTTACACAGTTTAAAAGAACTCTCAGCAAATATTTCATGGCATTTCTTACAGTTCAGAACTTCCCACACCCTTAAATCTCCACATTTCTTAGTATAACCTTTCAAATCTTGCTAAGTCCTGCATCTAGATGTTCCCAGACCTCAGTTTGAGTCCTCAAGATGCACCAGGATCCTATGTCCTAAATGTGATTTTTAGTAGACTTATGTAGGTTCAACCTTAACAAAATAAATACAACCCTTTCTCCAACACAACAAAAGACCACCTTCTCGCAGAGATTTTAATGTTAGGAACATAAGGTTGACTTCCTTGCTAGTAGCCCCTGTCTGTCTCTTCTCCACATCCTTCAAGGCTATTGTTTTTCCAAAGTGCTTCTTTCAGCCTCCCCGCTCCATTGCTAAAAGCAACACCAAGCTCAATAGAACGAGCAAAAAATTTCAGAGCAGTGCCCTTTGATTACCAGGCAATGGCTCAGCTAAAGCCAGGGTTCTCCCTGCATACACTGTTTTAATTACTTCTTCATAATTAAACAATATACATGTTCAAGCAGACAGTGCATTTTATATCAATACAATACCATAGACATCCTGCTGCCTTTCAGCTGATACAATTTGACTTTTTCCCTCAAAAGCTAAGGATTCTTTTTAAGCATTTCTTAGAGGTGCTCCAGGTTTTCAGCTTTTCTCTAGCACCATTTGGCATATCCCTGGCACAGCACAAATCTGAACCCAGGGGAGCCCAATCTGTGAAAGGCTTCCAGTATCAGATGCCACTATTTATATCTGTACTGCACTACAAGCATACTGAAATGGGTTTGCTATGACATCAAGAAAACAGCAGCTTTACTGCTTATCATTAACAGGTACCAAGTCTACCAAAACTGAAGTTGACAGAATTAAGAGATGTTTTGGTTCAGTGAACAAACCTACTCTCTCTGTCTCCCAGGGACAGTTCATTTTTAAACCCATGCTCCACAAGCTTCATGTCTGATCCAAAACAAACACTGAAGTACCTGCCACAGTTAAGTTTGCTTCCTTCTCTACCCGTAATTTCATGAAATACCATGTGTTGCATGATGACATGCCATTCTGTATGTAATGCAATGAAGTAGCGTGTTGTAGGTTGTTTTAGACGCGTGTTTGGAAGTTAGCCTTGCCACCATAACATAGTACTGACCAGTCAGCATGGTGATAAGTGGAAGGCTGTGCTCTTCAGGGCTTCCCCAGTATCCAGCTTCCCCCAGCATGTTCCTTTCTAGTACCTGGTGGTACAGTTCTTCAACCCAGGCCTGGGAAAATACCATCAACACTCCACTGGACTGGACCTGCTTCATGAACTCCTTCTGCAGAGAGCCATGAAAGCCAGATGTAAGACAACAGTAAGTGCTACAGCATAAGCCTTGGCCCCCAGATCTACTCCTGAGCGTAAGGTAATGCAGGAGTAAAAATGAAGTTGTGCAAAAATAAGAACTAACCAAGGATAGCAAAGTATCTCTATAGTTGAGAATGACACAAACAAAGAGATTTCCCTTCTCTTATTGCAGTTTGAGCAAGAGCAAATCATAATGACAGTTCTTGCACAGTGACAATGACACATGCTGATCTCTCACTATTTCCACAAAGTAGGGGTAGGATCTCATTTCCAACAAAAAGAAGTTGTGACACATAACGCTGCCTGTCCAGCAATCAGGCCCTTCTGCACTGAACAGTCACCACAGATGAAATGGAGTCCAATTAGATATCTGAACTATTTTCAACAATACTTAGGTCATGCTCAGGCCTGTTGTGCACAGTGCTGTCCCTAGAGAAGGTTCTGAGTCACGGATTTACTCTTCACAGCTACTGAAGATCATACCAGAACTAATGATGATGTTAAAACCCACTTGTTTTTGAAGTCTTCTAGAATGTAAATTCTCTTACATGGGAAGCTCAGCAAAAATGGTACGTTTTGACAGATTTTTTTTTTTCTTTTTTTGTTCCATGTAACACCATTTTTTTTATTTTTACGAAAAGTCTGAAATGCCTTCTCTTGGTCAACTTAGTTGAAAAACACAGATTCATGTTTTATAACTTCTGCAGCCTTCAAAACAATTTTTAAAAAGACTAAGAAGCTGAGGAATCCCAGGTGCCACAGAAATCATTAGTTCATATTACTAAAACCTAATTATTTTTCACTCTAACTTCTCATGTCTTCATCTGAATAAACACAAATTAAGTATTAAGCAAGAAATTTGTCATTATGCTCAAAAATAGTTGCAAGATGAAGGTATGTCCCTTGATCACATGCACTAACAATACTTGATGCATCACAATACTAATGAAGATCTGTTCTGAAGATAGAATATTCATCAGAATGACTGCTACTGTAATGATAATGAGTAAGCAGCATACATTCCCCCCCAAATTACAGAGAAGCTATGCAATTCAGATGCATGACAGTTACCATGCAAGATTTATAAGCAACTTGGAGAATGCTTCATTTGTAATTGTTATTTCTCCAGTTAGCAAGCAGCCTAAAGGCTTTATGTGTTATATGTGAAAAGCCTATTTTATGTAAAAGGAAGCAAAACAAATTTTCTTTTTTTAACAGTTTTTACACATACCCCAACTCACCAGCAACACAGGGGCTTGGGCGGGCTTCTTCCTGTAGTAATCCGAGTTGGCCAGTTTTAGGTTGAGCAGCAGAGTGTAATGTGAGACCATGTAGAGACTGTCTGCATTCATTAGAGTCTGGAAGCTGAAATTTAGGTTTCCCTCAAATCCTGGTGAGTGCATCATACCTAACAAAAACACCATGTGAGCTCTCACATTTTACACAGATTTTGCCTGGAAAAAAAAAATCAGAAACTAACCCTAGCATTTCAGCAGCAACAGATTGCTAGAATAGTTAATGAATCATCAGTAAAAATTACTCTACTAAATGTACTAGAATAGAGAATAGAAAAATAAGTAGTCCATCTACAATGCAGTGCTGCAAAGGCAAACTGAACACTCCAGTCACAGTCCAGCAAAGCAACAAGCTAAATCTGAAATACACAAGGAACATCAACATTCATTGGGATGACTGTAAGGTACAAAGCAAAGGGCAGGCTATATCTGCAATGCTTTCAGAAAGGCGCCGTGGGAAGGAGCAGAGGCAAAGCCTGCACGCTTAACTGAGCATACGTGGCACCAAATGAGGGTGACAGCCCTTTTAACCCCCCAGTAAATCTGTCCTAAGTAAGTTGTTTGATGGAGACTGGAGTGCTTGGCACCTTGCAGTATCAGGCTGTAATCATCATTCTCTCCATTGCCTTGAGGTACGTTGACAAATATTTGGGGCCAAGCTGGCTGAAACTCATTACAACTCCAAGCCCTGTTTACTTCATCCAAGACCTGCTCTCTAGAAAGCTGAGCACCTGCAGCTCTGTCCGATCCCTAAGCCCCCTGTTAGTGCTCAGTACTCATAAAACACTGTTTGTATGAATGACAGCCTACAACAATGCCCAGTGGCACAATCCCTTCTTTCCAGGTAGGATGGACGGCATATACATTTTCCTCTGAGTTAGCTGACCTACTAGTAGAAAAACATAAATCAAGTATGACCGATATCTAATTGAATCCCCTGATCTGTAGTTTGCGATATGAAAAAACCCAGAAATATTAGACACCCCCACATGACCCACAATATTTAATGGTTTTCACATCAACTGTGAAATCCATTCATATAATGTCAGTTAGGGAAGACTAAGCCGTAAGCTTTATCTTAGAGGAACATTTGAAATGAAACAAAAAACAGCTTCCAAGGTTAGTTACATGATGAAGCAAAGCTGTGTCATTTGTTAACTGCTGCAGTGGTTTACTGTGAATATATTCCTCCCACCATAAAGCTCATAACTCAGACAAAATACAACAAGCCATTAACATTTTTAAAAAAAAAAAAAAAAAAAAAAAAAAAAACCAACTAAAAATCCACACACAGAAAAGAAGCAAATGTTATTCTTGCCTCGTGAGGGTTTGAAAGTTCTGTGCTGCTGCCTTCTCGGACTTTCCACTGTCGTCACTTTGGGGGCGTGGATAAGGTGAGTAACTGTTTGAGGGCGGATTTAGAAAGAGAGTAACTGTTCCAGGGTGGGTCTAAAAAATGAATAGCTGTTCAAGGGAGCAACCTTTGTGGAAGAGGGGTGACAGGGCTGGCCACGAACCATACCCACATGGGTTGGTGTGTGCTTGGAATAGATTTCTTGTGGTGAACATTAACAGAGAACCTTTATCTAGTACCAAAATTGTAACCATGTGCTTGAAAGTAGTCTGTGAGTAGCTCCAGCGACCCCTTCATCACTGAAGGCAAAGATGCATCTTAACACTTTGTTGGATGGAGGATCATGGTATTGATGTAGTCAGAATATATTGATCTGATGCCTTACCTATCTTAAATATGTAGCTCAGCAACTAGAATCTGCTTGAGTAATAAAAAACTCAAGGCAGAGACGTATATAAAGAAAAAAAAAAGCCCACTTTATTCTGCATTAAAATATTTAAAAAATTGTGCAACCTCCTATGCAAGACTGCAATTAAAAAGGAAGGCGTATAACTGCACATAAAAGTGCATATATACATACATAGTGAGTATGTATTTGAGCACCTGAAAGTCTTTGGGAACAATATGGTCCCTAGTTTCCTCCAAAATATAATAAACAGCTGAATTTGAGAGATGCCGAGATCTCAAAAGCGGAAGGCTAGCTGATGCATAAACTTACAATGATGCTTACCAACATAAAAACCTTGCTGCTAAAAGTTATGGAATCAGAACTGAAAAGAGGTGCTAAAAATGTTTGTTATGATTATTCACACAATAGCACGCAATTTTTAGAATTAATGCCTTGACATTGCAGTTCATGAGAATATTTATGTCCAAATTAAGAGAATACTGATCATCAACTTTAATTATAAAAATCTGTAATAAACAATGAGGTTAGTACACTGTCTTAACAGAAAACAGGTCATTTAAATTGTGCAGGTAAAAGGAGGTCCTGAAAAAATGCAAACTTAATGTTTCGTGCAAGTCAAGATAATGTTGAGAATTTTTAGATAATTCAGTATTTTTTAAGATAGACATCACATTCCAGTGCCACTAAGGAACTTTTTGGCATTGGTTTTATGTAGCAACAAGGAGGAACTTTCTGAGGAAAGATGAAAAATGTAGATTAAGAAGACTTTTAACCAGCTGACTTCAAAATCTTAATTTCAGTACAACTCTGTTTAGCTGACTTCACTTTTTCCATGCTTATACTCCCATACCAGTGCCTCAATTTCCTACCTCCTTTCATTGATTTTTGATCATATGAAAACATAATAATATTACAATATTACTTAAGGATCTAGCTCGTAGAAAAATTAGCTACTAAATTGTAGCTAATGTATTTTTTTCACCAAAGTGTAAGAAAAATTGAAAAATGAAACAAAGCAGTTAAATAAGGTCTCAGAGAAACACAAAAATACTGCTTCTGTACTGGGTGGTCTCAGAACTGCACCTGTCTTTTTTCTCAACTCAAATCTTAACCAATACTCAAATTTCTTCAGGAATTATACATGAATAGATGTTGTACATACAATGAATGGGACCAGTTCCTCTAACTTCATCACCTGATTTGTGCCTTGAATTGCTGGTGCTAATGAAGGAGTCCTAAGTAAGGACTGACTCGGATGTTGCCTATAGAGGCAGATCAGACTGGTGTCTCAGAAGCTCTTCAGGGGGAGTTCCCACCCCCAGACATGTGTTTCAAGTTAAGTAAGTCTCTCTCTACAGGTCTTCAAACTCACACACCTCTCACCTGCACAGGAACGCAAGTGCTCACCTCAGGAGGACTGACGGACTTTTGCTTAAGATCTGAGGTACAAGCTAAGGGGCTGTTTCAGCTGGCTTGAGTCTCATTCCAGTTGTCCAACTGAAACATGAACTGCACAGATCTTGTGAGAGCATAAAATTACAATTCTGTAACAGCCACAGCTCTATGAAAACACCAGGGTACCTCTTCCTAGCTATTCTAATACAGTAACTTGCTACTGTATTTTTCCATGATTCCTACTGAGCGGCATCTTCGAAGAGTACTTCATCAAATCGGACTGGAAACATGGTGTACGTTTTTAAGTACAGATTTAGCCATGGGGGTGGCTTCCTTACGAAAGTGAAAGGTCTTTCTCAACAGTCTAAGTCCAAGACTAGGTATCTTTTTAAAAGAGATGTACAAACCTGAAATTATGGACTGAATGTAGAAGTTGAGTTACATTCTTCCCTCTTTCTCAATGCATCAGTCATACTGAATGACAGCAAAAGCTGCATTTAGCCTTAAAATCCGGAAGTCTGTTAGATCTACCTCTTCCAACACTACAAAGCATTCTAAAGGGATTTGACAGACAAAAGAGAAAAGAAGCTGTATACTCATTCATGCATGAGGGAACAGGTGCACAAAATTTTGAGCTAAATTCTAGTCTTGGTCTTTTGGCATAACCTCAAGATCACTCTCTTTTCAGGAAAAAATAAATCTGTTGTGCTTCTGAGCACCTCAGTTAGGAATGTAATTAACATTAATGTCCCCTTTAGGATATCTCCTTTCTGTGATGTAACATGGCCAATATTTCTTAAGAATGTCATTTACCATCTTCCTGAGTTGGAGCTTATTTGGGCAGCATTTAAACAGGGTATCAGGAGTATCGGATTATTCACCCAGTTTCGCATCTAAATTGTAATACGATGATGGGAGGCATCCCTTCTGACTCTGTATAAGTTTGATGTGTATGAGAGAGCACAAATGGATGAAGCAATGATTAGGAGAGGAGCAATAGGAAAGGCAATTGTGGTGAATTAAGTTAAAGAAACAGAGAAATATTTTTTAACAAACATTTCCACTTTGGCCACTGTCAGGAAAAAAAAAAAAACTTTAAAAAAGAATAAAAAATATATTTATACACATTTTAAATATACTATCAACAAGACAAACTAGACTTTGCATGGCATTTTTTTGTTTGATTGACCAAGTCAAGATCCCAAATGTTCTAAATCTAAAAGAATTGCAGGTATTTAATCTCTTAAAATTTTTTTTTTTTTTAACTATTTTTCACCTGGTCTGAGCTTTGAGCTTTGCATTTCCTGTCATGATAGCAGTGTTAAGAAAAACAAAAGAGTGAAGAACAGAGTTGCTCCTCTTTTCCTATCCTTTCAAGAGCCTAGTGCTGTGGAATTTTTAACACCTTCTTTGCGAGGCTGGCATTACTAACAGTAATGCAGTGATGTACTAAGTCACTGAAATCTTTCAAAACAGGTGATGGTCCCCCTCACACCCCTTTCATGCTAAGGGGCAACCCCAACCTCTCTTTAATGACAGCATGTGTAAATCTTCTCAACAGATCTTCACAAACCTGTGAAAAGGTATCTTACTACAGAATATTTGATTTCTCCATTGACTGAGAACATAATCCATTGACTATTAAGAATCAATGGATTGACCTCCCTTTGAACCACTGCCTACATATTCAATTTGCTTTGCCCTAAATGAAGTGTGCAGCTGTGGAGGCATGTGCTTCGTGAAGCACAAATCTCCTTATTCTGGATATGTTCTCTGAAGATGAAATCTTACAAGAGAATCTGTGTACAGTGCTGTCACAGTGTGCATGCTGGTGAGACAGTAAGTATTTGTTTGCAAACCTGAGCAGAATGTTGAAGAGAAGCTCTGCAGTGCTCCATCCACCTCCTCTATGCTGGGAAGAGCTATAAGCCGAGGAAGAAGAGCTTCAAGTGACTGGATAAACAGTCGTGCACTGTGTTGGTCTGCTTCTTGGTTTTTCAGCAATTTCAGAGAGAGAGCAGCAGTACGTAAGGATCTGTGACCTGGACAATCTCGTGGTGTCTGCTCCTCGTCAGCCAGGGAGCAATTGTCAGAGCCTATGTCTGAGACATCTGACCTGCCTGAGTCCTTCTCGGCTGCCATGGAATACTGATCACATGAATCAAATTCAGTCCTAGAAAGGTCCTGGTCATCTACACTGAAATTACTTTCACTGTATCTGGATCCATAGGACCGGGTCTTGCAATCAACTGATAAGAAATTAGTTATATCTGGATAGACTATCGTGTGGCTTCTCTGAACAACGTCTGGCTGGTCGATGGTTTCTGACTCTGGTTCTCTATAATGAATCTCTTTGCTTTCATGTCCAGCTGGAGATTGCAGTGAGTTTTTTTGACTTTCTGGATTATCCTCCGGAGTTGTCTGTCCCATATCCCCTTCCAAAGTGGTCTGGCCAGTGTCTGTGGTAACGCTAATGCTAATATCAGGACTCTTCTCATTTCCTGACTCCCAGGCAGGATTTTCTGATGACAGGATGCGCCTCTGCCATCTAAAGTCAGCATCATTGATCTCCATAGAGTCCCTGCTCGTCTCAGTTCCATCCTTCAATTCTTCCAAACGCCGGAGCACTAGCTGGATCTGCTCTTCACTGAGACCTCTCCCTTGGCTCAGCTCATCTAATGCTCCAAGCAGAGCAAAGACGCAGGACACTGAAGCATAACATGCTTCAATACCACCTTTGATGCACGCTTCTGTCATCCCATCCATGATACTACAATTAAAACAGAGTTTAAGTGATGCAGCACATATAGTGAGCACATGACACTACCATTCAACGCTATCCGTCCATAACCAGGAAAAAAAGAAGTGAAATAATCCTGTAAGACTACTCCTGAGAACAACTATTATTAGAATAAATTATTAAGTCTCCCATGTGGTCATGGCCATTCTGTAAAGGGAAACAGTTACCATCCATTTGTACCAGCATGCACAGCATGTTTTCCCTTAGAGATAAGCATTTACACTTGTGTAAGGAGGAATGTAAGTAAGAAAAAAACCTCTCAACACCCAACTGAAGCTAAATTTAAGCCATCTGTGTCCTAAAAATTATCTTATCTACAAGATACGATCTTTATAAGAACTGAGAATCCTTCTTGCTCACTCTGATAATGTTTAAATTTTTGATTAAAATTCCTCTGACTTTATCTTGGAAATGTATCTCTGAATAAGACCACAGTTATTTCTTTGCAAGTTTAGGGACCCAAACCCAAGCATTTCCAGCTGTAAACCAGTACTGGGGATTCTGGCAAACTCTACAGAGTAGTTATCTATGCCTTTAGAAACAGGCCCAGACGGATGACAAACCAGTAAGAGCTTTTAGGCCTCTTCCATTTTCACAGCTTATTTACCCAGGGAGATACCCTGGCTCATATTTGGGTATGCTTCTGAAGGTACAACTGTTTAAGTGTCCTGTGTGCACTAGTTTAAGAGAAAAGAGGCTAAAGGAGGAAACAAAGCATACAGCTTGAGAAGATCCAGATGGGACTTCCTTTTAGAAATAGACCTCTTCCTTGATTCTGACTCAGAAGAGCAGGGCCCTGCCAAATCACAAAGCTGCCGAGGACTGCCAAGTATCTGAAAGAAAAAGAAACAGAAGCTACTAGAGGATTATATAACCATTATTTAAATACAATAAATGAGTCATAGTTCTATCAAGCCCTGGAACCTAAGGTAGCAGTACTATAATTTCTCACAGAAAGGAATACAACACACTGATGTTCTACATATTAAAGCCAACTTTCCTCTTTTTAAAGGCAGAAAAGCAATTAGAGAAGAGCAGAACAGTCAACAAGAATCACATATAGAATGTTCTCCAGTGCTTTACATTTTTGACTGAGTATGTTTCAACTGATACTGCACACAAGATGATCTCTATGCCTAAATATAGAGCAAGTATCTTGCATTATATTATATACCAACGGGAGCCTTTCCCTTCAGACATCCAGTTACAAATGATGGAGTCATGCAAAGATAGGCAAGGTGATTCCTTCTGACTCAATCTGCTGGGAGGTGTCCTGTTAATGCCCACCAGGAAATACAAGGAGAAGGCTTTACAAACAAGCTTGTGTTAATAGGCAGAAAGAGACAACAGGTATGTCCTGCAGGAAACAACGTTAGACTGAGCTTTTCCTAAAATGTCCATTGTCATCTTGATAATGTTTAAAATTAGAGGAGGACAAGTGCCAGGGTGACTGCCAGTTCAGACAACAACTCAGTGGGTGGCTGTGTGGTGTTAGGAGAGATCTTAAGACACAGAACAGCGTAGGTATGCACAAGCTAGAACAAAAATCTTCTGAAAGACCACTGTTCCTATAAATTACATAAGTTGCCTTGTGTTCTACAACGTGAGAAGAAAACCACACGTGAAATGGAAGAGTCCAAGTTTTCATCTGCTGCTAACAGTGCTCCAGTTCTAGTGTTGTCAGAGGCACTGGGCAAGAGGCCAGAATGGACCGGTCTTGACATGGCCACTTAAAACATTGGCATCTTCCTTGTGGCTATTCTAATAAAGCTCAAGGAAACTGTTTTTCAAAAACCTGGCATGTAATCAAAGCATATATTCACTTTAATGTCTGGAATACTACACTGTGAGGATAAATGTCTCCTTCTAGCAAGAGCAGAGAGTGGGGAAAGATGCCAAAGAAGTTGAGAACTGGATCGCTATACTGTATCTCACCCAAAAGAACAGTCATGACTCAGTGATAAGATCTGCTTCATGCAGTACCACAGCATGAACACTGATGAAGTTGCCATAGCAGCTTGCATTATGGAGACAAATATAGCTATTATGACTTTATAAAACTAAAAATTTGTCAGAGTGGCTTTGATGTAACAGCTGTGCTCAGAAAGGGCGATTTCAACATCCCTAGTGCTAAGGTATGGCATCGACTGGTATGCACATATCAGCAACATTTACTGTTAACTAAACATTTTGCTTTACATGCCTGGATTTGCACATGTGATTATCCTACCTCTTTCATAATTTTAATAGCTTCTACTCGGTGCTGAGGTGGTGGGTAAAGCAGTATTCGATGATAGAGAGACTGTAGCACAGGCTTCATGGATTCCACTGACCCCACCAGTCGAACCAGTTCCGCTGCAATATAATATATAGTCCGTGCAACAGGCCCACTAAGGGCAGGTGCTGTGGAGGAACAACCTGAACCCCGGCCATGATCAGAGATCCCTGGGGAAGGTGAATCAGCCTCAAGGCAGATGCTGCTGTGGGCAGAGGTGATTGTTTTGTCATGGATTGGATTTCCCAGGATTACTACTAGGGCTGGACACAGTTGTTTCCTGAGAAAGAGAAAAGCAGCAGATGGTAAATGGAAAAAAATAATCTCATAGGAACAGAATGAAAGAAAACAACCCATGGTTAAATGATACACACACTCTTGTTTTAATGATCAGTCAACAGCAGCAATTAGATAGAATAACAAATTAGGCCAGGCTTTTTTCATCTCCCAAACATCAGCATGCTAGTACATATGGAAATACTTCTGGGTGCTTTATAAACATGGCACTGATTTTGCAAGTTCATGTTGCCGCACAATGCTGTCCTTTACAGGATAGCATGACTGCCTCTTTCACTGGCTGCAACCCACTGCAAGGCAGAAATTCTAGGTTTCTACTGCTAAGTGTTTCTTCTTCAGTCCAACTTGTGAGCTTTAAAAAAACCTGACCAAATAAATCCAATCTATGGTAACTACAAGGCTTGATGTTCCATCACTGAACTGCACATGCATGTATTTTAGTAAGCACCCTTAGTTGCAAGCCTCTGTTTTGCTGGCTTTTGAGAACATAATTGAAGCCTTCTACAGTAACTCAAAGTGTGCAGTGTAACTCCTCATATGCCACTATACACTTTCAAAAGTCTTTCTGCATGAATGCTCAAGTTAAGTGATTCCACACCAGCAGATCACTCTTCTGTGAAACTGGAGCCAAAACCAACTCAGCACTTTGCTCTATTAGCTGTTATTTCAGCTTTGCACTCATGCACTTGACATTTTACTTCAGTCTGCAAGACCCTAATTTAAAAAGCGGAGTGCTGCATGACAGTGCTGTCCCAAACCTGATTTTCACCCATGTCTCAGAGGTTCAAGCTGGTGCCTAGAGCAAACACTCAATGACAAGTAATGATTCAGCATAAAAAATAACACATCCGCATAGGTAAGTACACCTTATTTTCTCAAGATTTTTCTGCAGTCCAGAACTTTCATTGCTTCTCTTAACATGCTTGCTAAAACAGCACAGTTTTCTGAAGTCACAGAAATAAAACCAACTTTTAATCAGACATCAGATAATGACTTTGAGTCTTCTTATTCCATTTCTTTCTCCAATCAGGTACATTCCAAAACATATCAATTCACTGCTTAAAAAACATGCCTGCCTTGAAGCTGGCATAATAACAGGTTGCAACAGCAACATATTCCCCACACTTCTTAGTCCCATCAAAGTGCTTCTGCACCAAACTATAGAGAACACTGTCAGAAGAACACAGAGCCAAATATTCTCTGTCTGCTCCCTTCTTCATCTTCTGTTGAGAACTGGCTACAAAATGACAGCCAGAAAGTTACGTGCATGCAGGCAACAGTTCCTTAAAGAACAGACAGCTGTCAGTTTGGTTCACAACTTCACTAAACAGCTAATGGATTAGTGTGTACTTATACTGCTATTTATATTCAAAATGATGTTTGCAGTTTAAACTATTTCATATCTTCCTAGTATTTTGTTTTGTTTTGCTTTGTTTTCTTCCACTTCATTTAAGCATTCAGCTGGAAGATGCATATTCCTTGTCAGCAATACAGGTTAAGAAGTCCTGCCCCTGATGGGTTGCCATCAAGACACTCAGTTACAAATACAAACACCTGTAGATTTGCAGCATAAAGTGGATCACCAAAATTATGTAAATTTAAAATAAACCAAGAAGTCTTTTCTTTTAACTGAGATCATTTCAGTGATCCTGCTTATAGGATGGCCTCACAGTCAGTCACATAAGCATAAACAAAGGGTTGGGTGAAATTCAAGGGCAGAAACTTCTGAAATGGGTTTGCCATGAAAGAGAAAATTCTGCTCTTACATTAGAGCTCCCAGAGGCCTCAGCACAGGGTCCCTATGCAACACTGCCAAGTGTTATCAACCTGAAGACCTCCCAGTGCAGAAGCCACTGATTTTACTGGGACAGCAAGGGAAGTTATGGGTTCCTCTACACGTTGCATCCTTAGAACTGGACCCAAGTCAAACACTTCCATTTCAAACATTACAGAGTAAAAGCACAAGAAACACACTTGCTATTAGCAGTCACATATATCTTTTCTTGACACTATCACCCAACAAGGTCACAGGATGGGCATGGACTGCAAGGAACTGCATATTAGTTACATTCTTGCTTTATTACTATGAATCAGTTATCTATATGCTATTAAAAAAGCACTATTGCAAACTTAAAGAAGGAAAAGGATTATTTCAGGTGCTCTGAGGTGATGGTATCAAACAATTCTGAGGTAGACATGAACACTAAAGATGTCAAGCCTTTCTGGTGAAGTGTATTTAAAAGAGTATTTCTTCATAAAGTGGAAGCACCATAAAGACCATTTAGCCTCAGTCCTTATACAATGCAGATCATAAGCATTTCTGGTCACCAGAACACCATCTGACATGAATGCTGTTTATCTTCCTGTATTACTGTATCAGACTAGTACGAATCTCTATAGCACCCTCCTACTGTAAGTAGGATATTTTTGTATTTAATGCCACACAAGAATCCAAACTGTTGCAGAAAAAAAGAAGAGTTTTTCTGTTCTGGCTATATACACTAGACTTCATTACAGTGATAATCACTACAGGGATTTAATGTGCTAGCTGAGCATGAGGTCCTAACCAACCTTATATGAGGCACAGAATGAACTGACAGTAGATTATCAACAAGCTCTGCTTGCATCTGGAGATTTACTACAGGTTTGTTTGCATGGCTGGAGGGAGAAATTCCTTTTATACTTACAAACTGAATATTTGCACTAGTCTTCAGATGTACTCACCATATGAGATCAGTGAATCCTTTGTGCTGGTGCATGCTGGGAGAGGAGCTGTTTAACATGGAGAGGATGCACTCCAAGTAAAGAAGCTGAAGTTGCCGATTGTCACTGGCAAAGAGAAAAGATGCCATTCATGTCACATTAAAACAAAGGTTATTTAAATATCTAAAATAACTACACTAGTTCACCTGAAAATTATACTGCAATTTACAGCAGTGATTTATTTTGCTTCTTCCTTTGGAAGAATGGTGTTATCACATTTATCATTCCATTTATTTTGTATTGATCACATGTGGTGATATGCTACTTTAAGCAAAATCTATGTGAAAAAAAAGAGGAAAAAAACCAGAAATAATTATTCAAATTCAATCAAAAAACTTGAGAAGGAAGGAACCTCTAAACAGAGGAAAAGGAGACAGAATATTTTTGTCTAGTGGATAGTTTGGATAGTTTCTTCAGGCCATCTGAAGGGCATTTAGGCTGCTCTCTTCTGGTTATTTTCTATCTTTTCTTGGTGGCAGCCACAATGGTCAAAAGTCAATGTCTATAGGCAAAAAGTCGCATGATGTCATGCCTAACTTTCAGGTCCTTGCCCGTTACTCTGTCAAAACCATAAACACAAAGTGAGCTTCATGAGAAAGAATGTGAAAGATTCTGTGGGCATCTGGAATTTATACACTTGTAACATACAATGTGCTTGTACCTACTCTCAGAATTAGCTTCAGGATTCAGGAGACAAGCAAGTTCCTAAGCATGGGTTTCCTGAAAATGGTAGAGCATATAAAAGGAAGTACCGATGCATGCTTTTTTTGTATATCTCCTATTTCCCTGAGTTCACCACAGGCTACTTTCAGAGACATACAGGTCAAACAAAGAGACAACATTATGCTACGTTTAAAATAGTTTCCAATTGACTTTTTCACTATCACTCAGGCAATTTGCAACTGGCAGTAGTAGCAAGGTAATTCTTATTTTACTGATGCAGAAACAACGTTGTCAAGTGAAAACCTGTTTTTCCCTTGAAACTCGAATTATTTCTAGCTTGTTATATTTCTATTTTTTAAATAACTGTAATGTTTGCATTGCTTTCGGTTGGTCACCTCTTTAACACTTAAGGCTTTTTTTGGCTCATTTCTTAATAAACCATTACTCAAGCTATGCAAGAATGCCACAGGAAGTAATTTTTAATGCATGAGTAAGTATTTACTCTTACAGTACTGGCCAACAAGAGACTCTAGTATTTTAATGCAGTGTAACACCCTATTGCTGCCCATAATAACAACATTTCAAAAGTTACACTCATGCATTTCCAAGTAGGTAGAGTGTATGATATTCCTAAATGTAAGGAATACTTTAGTAATGCAAATTATTTCAATTTGATGAATGTAATCTTTCTAAGAAGGACATATTAATTCATTCTGCATATTGTTTCTGTTAGGTTTTTTCATGTCTCATAACTGTTGTTCACTCTACAGTGGTTGCTTTCAAGCCGGAAAGGAAAGCTTCTCCTTTGACAAGTATTTTGCTGCTGTATGGAAGTTACTTAGAGATTAGATTTACTGGAAGCTCTTTAAAGCTGAACAGTGCACAAAGGTGACAAATTAGCTTCTCATCTCAAGTGTGGATTAAATTAATGCATCATGGACAATACTTCCCCTAATAAACACTTAATTTAAGCACAGTTTTGCTCCATAATTCCAGAACTACAGTAGTATAATCACATGTATCAACAAAACTCTTAATCTCCAGGTAATAAATTCAAATTATAAATGGAAATAACTCACTTTATGACAGCCTGAAGCTTCTCACAGAGCACAGTGAGGACAGATACAACATCATCACAAAGAGACTCAGCTGAAGTACCTCCAAAAAGGACAAAGATGAGAGGCATTACATAGGTGCAGCTGGATTACAATACCAGTTCACTGCAAGGACTTTCAGAGCTGCTAAACAATGAGCAGGGCTGCCAAAATTCATAGAAAAGATCCCGTATGAAAAGTCATAGATTGGAAAGTGATCTCCACACAGTGAAAAAGCTGTAGTATTAAATCTAGAGAGACCATTGATTGCTTACATACATTTACAGAAGGTTAGCTGAAAACCAATTCAGATAATAAAATAAGTATACAAATAAATAATAAAAGAGGACTGGGTCCAGTATATCTACATGGCAGCTAAAATTTCTGTATCTTTCCCTGCAGTTTGTCTCTACTACACAGCTTCTTATGTCTGATCAGGTTCTGATCTTAAAAGAGGATATTTGTGCACTTCAAAGATTTTAGCCTCAATCCACACAAGTTCTCCTGCAGATATCCAGTGAGAAGGTCAAAAGCAGGATTCATTTTTACCTGTCAGGGAAAATGTTGGAACTTAAGCCAGAATGAGAGTAGAAAAAAATTTCTTTTGTAAAATAATCATTTGGCAAGTGTGAACAGATCTTTGCTAGTGATGCGCTTTCAAAAGCTGCCATTTTATAAACTGTGTCTCTGGCCTAAAATACAGTAATGCAATCATTTTCAGATCCCACATTCTACTCCATGAATTTTTTTCAATTTAACAAGTACAGCTACTTACTAAAACTTTCTCCAGAGCACTGAAACTCCTTAGTTACAGAAGTTAGTGCCTTGAAACAATCATTTATCACTACGTTGAGTGCCATGTTGTTACTGTGGTCCAAATGAAGACACAACTGAAAATATCAGGAGCTAACAGGGCTGTCTCAGTTCTTACCACAGGTAACACATAGAGCATCAAGCTATGCAGAAGTTAAGAAATTCTGAAGATTCAATTTCTGTGACATCAAACAGTTCTATGCTGATGAAAGGACAGTGAAGAATAAAGAAGCTGGATTGGAAGGAGTCGCTAAAAAAGTGTTACAAATACCTTGATTCTTGAATTTCTGTAAGACATCATGGTTTTCAATTGCCTGGTGAGGAAAGACAAAGGTGATGTAATTGGTGCAAAGGGCAGAAAAACACTGTAGAAACAATACTTTAACAGCAGACCTTTCTTAAATCCATGCCCTCTATCTGTTTTGGGTTTTGTTTGCTAGGGTTTTTTAAGTGAAGTTTTTGCAACATTTTCAAAAATTCCGTAAGATCTGTTTCAACAGTCATTTAGATTTAAGGAACTCATATCTCACTGAGCTGAACGAGGATTTGTAAGTCCTTAAATGACTTCCTACACCTAAATCAACTCAGTAATAACTAGGCATGTAAGTCGTATTGAATATAACTGAGAGGAAAGTGTAGTCTAGATTTCACAATGTACTTAGAAACCAAAATCAATTGAGTATTCGAGAGATTATCACATTGTCATCATTAATGTTACAGTGACAACCCTGTAATTAATGGCAGTCAGGAAATGGAAACGAACTCTTACATCATTTGGCTCAGATGCAGTATAGGATTCTTCCTATCGGTGCACAAAGGGGTCACAAATTCTTCTCTCAAGCATCAACAACAAACTGCTAGGAATTAAATGCAGCTCTCATGCTTTCACCTACTCCTCAGCTAAGAACAGAACTAACAAAATCCAGCTTTCAAACTCAAACGGAAATTTCAAAACTACTGTTTTTTTTGTTGTTTTGTGGTTTGGTTTTTTTTGATTGGGTTTTTTTTTGTAAATGTTTTGACTAGTAAAATAAACTTATCTTCTGTTTGTGCTAAGAAGGTTTGAGTAAACTGATTAATTCTGTTCTTCAGTTGCTCATTGGGATAAAGGTAATCTAGTCTACTAATCCAAAATAGATGTGATCATCTTAACTTAAAACAGATATAAAGAAAATATTCTGTTCAACTACAGTCCTTAAAATTTCCTAATAACTAGAAGCTGACTTCTACAAATAGTATTGTTTTGATAATATGGTAATATACAAAACAGCATGAACGAATGTAAGAAGCCAATGTAATTTCATACGTGGCCAGAACATTTATAGTTTTGCTAACAATGTGCTGGAATTTCATTCAAGCAGCTCTCAAGGATTTTAATAATGCAATAAATAAAATTTATTTTTTTGCTAATAACCAACCAAAGATTTTAATGAGCTTAAACTATCTTCTATTAAAAAGTAGATGAAAAAAATCAATTTCTCTTTCCTTAGTTGAGAATTTGTTTTGTTTATGTAAATATTTGTCATTCAAAAACTTTTGGCAAAAGGATTTCAGTGTACCTTAGGAAAACAAGTGAAGAAAATAAAGAATGGAAAAGGCCAAGGCATCCTGACATCAGAACAAAGCCTTTTTTGTTTAATGGAAGGAGAAAAAACATAAAAATCAGCCACATAGATCTGACAATGAGAGCTGCATTTCCCATAAACTGCCCTGAGGCAGGCACAGAGTCAGAGCCCAAAAAGCCCCTTTTAAACAGGATTAATGGTGGAAGTGTCAAATAAAAGCCAAAAGGCACAACAAGCCAGTACAATACACTGCATTCAGAGAAACAAAAAGGTATGCAGCCATGGACATGGAACCATTTGTTGACGCCAGAAGGCTCACCATGTTTTCTTGCTTTTGTCGTAACTGTAAAGTCAAGTCACTCAACATTTGGCTGAGGGTTGCCCGCACAGCGGTGTTAATGCTCCGCTGGTGACAGCTAGATACATATGTCTCAATGCAAACCTGATGAGGAAACAAGACAGCAGTACATAGATATGAACTGTAACTTACCAGTAACACATTTTAGGAGGATACCAAGGTCTCTCGCATGCAGACAGTCAGCCTTCCTTACTATTTCATATTGCTTTATTAGCACATTAGAAGTTTTCAGCAATATGGAAAACTGACTAAGTAGCGTCTAGAAGCAACATGCAATTCATCAGTCTCACAGCTGCAGGAATGGTAGGGCAAAATTGGCAAAGTCTCCTTCTGTCAAACCCAAGCGATTTTAGCACTTGCCTTGCTTTTCATGAAATGCTGCTTTGAATGTTCATTTCTAGATACTTACTTGTAACTATCACTCTGCGAGTCTGTATCTACAATATAAATACCCTCCAATTTGTTAAGGTTGTTGCTTCTGTTGTACAGGTATTTGCTACTTTTTCTATAATTAACGATTACATACTACAGCACATCTGAAAGCCTTTGAAGGCCTTTCCTAACACCGAAAATACAAGAGAACTTTAGCACAAATAACACAAATGATTGCCTTTGAATAACTGGCCATCAAGCCGAGGGCTCCTCAGCTCAGAGTTCCCACGGGAGCCAAGGTAGCAACAGAAGAACCCTGATGGATCATCCAGTTTCCAGGTCCGTGCCCAGCTGCTGGCAGTGTTTTGACACTGTGCTATGACCAGAGTTGTGCTTGACTTTTGTCCCAGATGATGTTATACAAATAACTGCCAAAGCATAATTAAGCTAGGATCCTGGGGACAGCACACTGCAAAATGCAATGTCTATCCTTGATCAGATTTTCTGTGGGAGGTGTTCGTCTCTGCAAGAGCCACTGTAACTGTAGTAACTACTGTAACTACTGCACAGTAACTATTAAGTGGATAACAGTCCTGATGGAGCTGAGTGGGTTTGTGACAGAACTGAACAATTCAGTCTTCTCACACTGTGATCTGAAGAAGCAGTTTTGGCCCTCTGGCCTACGCTGAGTTTTATGATTAACAATGACTGTAAAAAAAATAAAGAAATAAATAACTGTTCACATTGTTCACATACTTTTTAGTCTTTGTGTCTTTAGTCTACCATCATTTGACTATATAGCTAGTGAGAAGAACTATGAATATAAATTAAACTAGCTGTGGAAAAAAAAATTAAAAATAGAAATATATAGTATACCTGATATACATGAGGATTATATATAAATACATCTGGTGTATGTTTTTGAATGAGAAGGATATTATATAATGTAAAGTCATTTTTATAGTTCCCTAATGAGGATGAGTTTTTAGGAGGGAAAAATTAAAGCGATCTGATTACATAGCCTAATCAGTATTGACATGGGCACACAGACAAGACTCGATCATTTCTAACTCCTACTGAAATGAAACAAAGCTATTCTACTGAGTAAGAAAAAAAGGTTGCGGACTCGAGGCTAGAAAGTTTAAGATTAACAAGTTGCTGACATATTTCTCCATTTATTAGAGTCGAAAACAACATAAGCATGTTCCTAAAACCCTTCTGACCTCCTCACATCTCAGCATTTCATAAAAGCCAAAAGCACAAGAAAACATGACTGAGTTTCCTGGATACAAACTATATCTTAAGTGAGTGATCCAAGACATCACACATGGAAGATACTTAACTATGACTCTTGCCTTATTTTCCCTTATTTCCCAACTACACTGAGAGAGAGCATTCCAGAGCTTTTCAGGTGTATGTGTATCGCTTGTTATCTCATGCTGGAAACCCTATGCAAATGACAAACTGCGACTGATTACCTTCTTTGACAATACAGTAGAGCAGGTTACAGTTGTATGTATTTGCAGGATATAAGGGATCGAACTGACAGCGTATCTCATTCTCGTTGCCCTTTTTCAAGATTTCAAGATCCACCCAAATAAATAAGGGATTTTATTTAGATTGAGAACCATCAGTCAGTGATGAAGATGGTCTTTTAAGTGAAAAGAAGGCCTGGATCAACTCTGCCCATCATTCAGCTATCACCTGAACTTCAGTGTACAAAAAACCCTAGAGCCTGTTACCCATATACAGCCCTTAGCAGAGGCCAAACCATCCTAGTGCTGCTGAGATCATTCTCTTGAGGTGTAAGTCTTCGTCTAGAGTACCAGAATTAATTGATGAAATACCATTCTTAGAGGTAGGCTGACTTTCTGGAAAGAGCATGGTTGATATCTCCTTCTTCTCTCCCCTCCCCATGCCAGCTAATGAGCAATAGTACTGTCTACTTAAGCTCCGATCTTATGGAAGGCCTGTGTTCTAAAATGGCTGGGCAGGGTACCTTTTGAAAAGCCATTGATGAAGAAGCACCAGTAAAAATGCTAGAGCTCAGGGCCCCAAGGAGGTGTGCAATGGTCATTTTGATCATTTCATGCATTCGGGTACTTCCAGCTCTATGGCATGCAAAACATAACTAAGAGCAAAACACAGTAGGGTTAGCCAATGAAACACAACAGTCAAAGAAAACAAACTTCCAAAATGTAGATGGAAGTAACAAATACACACATAAAAACAAGCAACAGCATGAACTAAATTTTCTTGCAGGGGTCTAGGCAAGCATGGGAAGGTGCACAAAGCAAGATTTTGTCTGTTTTCAATAGTATTAATACTCAAGCCACAAAATATAGTACTCTTCATGTTGGATTCTTCCTTAATTTGAAGCTGATAATATTCAGAAAGATTTGGGGTGCCATTATTTTGTATACATGAATTGAGAAGAATCAGGCAGTTTCAAATGGCCAGATTGTAGCCTTGTTTGTCAGAGAGAATCCTCACAGAGTTCTACCAGTAACGCAGCCAGCACCTTTCTAACTCTGCAGTGGCTCCACATTGCTACAGAGGGCAGGCTAGGAAAACTAAGGGACTGACTTGGAAAGAAATGTCAAATAGCAGAAAGCTCCTCTCTGCCACCTTTGCCTTCGAGCAAGTCAAAACAATAAATGCTGAGGCTAAGCAAATGCTGAACTCAGAAATAATTTTCTGTTTCCTACTGCTTATACATTGTAGAATTCAGATACAAAGGTATATTGATTCCAGCTGCTAAAAGCCTTTGCCTGACCTAAACCTGGACAAGAGGAATCTGAGGAAGCATGTATGTGCTTGGTGGGACTTGCTATTTAGAAAGACCTTGGCATTCACTGAGGCAATATTTTCTCAAGGGCTGTAGGGAAAATAGCTGTACCTCCAAACACTCCAAATAGAAACACGTGTGCTCTGTATTTATTGCTTGTTCCAATTTCCTGAAGGAAATGAAAGTTTTGTTTGCTTTGCTGGTACATCTCATCAGCCTGCATCAGAGCTCCTGTTCACTTTAACAGAAAAAGGACAATCATTGTGCTAATTTGTACCACTATACTAGCAAAGATTTTTAAGAGCCAGGCTAGCCATTTGGGAATGAAAATGTAACTACCAAGAACATCAGAGTTTAACTCCAATCTGTGAAAGAAAACTGCCATTTGTCAGGATGCTTTAAATGAGTAGCAGCTCTGATATTATCCAAATTTACAGAGAGAACAGAAAATATGATTTCTGATACAGCTTATAGCACACAGAGCATGACTGATTGGCCATTTTACCCAAGTCTTAGGCAGTACTCTGAAAGATTGAAATGTGACAGGTTTAAAGCCATTAAATACTTTTCCCAGCAAGTATTTTGTCTAAGTTAGAGCTCTACCTACAGCAAAGAGATGCTCACCAGCTTTTGCCTTGCATGATAGAATGTCTGCTGAGAAGAACTGCAGCGGGGAAAACTACCTTTATTTTCTTCAGTTTGGGACACTGACATAAAGGGAGGGTTTAGGAAAACTTAAAAAGTTGTGGCTTGCTCAGAATATCAGTTTAGTTTATCCTTGCTACAGCTTCTACAGGTGGGGCTTACAAAGACCTCCAAAAATAGCTATACTTTATGGTCTAACATAACACAAGAGAAACCAAAGACTTAAGCTGTGCAGGACATCTGGAATGATAATTACTTTTTTCTCATCCTGTATATGCTATATACACTAATTGTTTATGTTGTATCCCTGCCTTTTAAAACACATTTGTTACAAACTGACAGCTGTTTTCTTTGTTTCCCTGTTATACCTACAACCCCACTCTCAGCTTCTAATAAGACAATGCAAGGTCAATCTTATTCCTAAACTTAGAAAATACTGTAACTTCCAGATAAAGTGAGCTATTTTCATATGGGATCTTCCTTCTTAAAAAAAAAAAAAAAAAAAAAAAAAAAAAAAAACCAAACAAACCACAAAATACCAAAACCTGAGAAGGAACATGTCTCTATATGTCTACATACACTTGGACTGTAGGACACGCGTATTACCTTTACATTGCTCCATGGACATTAGCTCTCCCCATACCACATTAACAATATAATTTTATAATATGTTCTGCACACATCAATGCGTGCTGCACAGGAGGATTAAGTGTTCTTGTGCATTTTCCTCTAACCTGAACAAACAGTCCCATGGCTTGCTACACACTGTACTAAAAATATCATCCATCTACAAAGGCTCACTTAATAGACCTACAAGTATGTTTTTCTACAGCCAAAGCTCCTTTACAACTTAACTTAGACTAAAATCTAATGGAACAAAGGGAGAAGAATGACTAATAGCACCAGAACAACACTATATATCTAGAGGTTTAATAAATCTTTTACTTGGATGTATTAGGAAAAAGTTACACACAAGGCTAACGAAGCACATTGTGGCACTTGTGCTAACATGGCACATTACGGTCTATACACCTCCCTTGAGGAAATTTCATTAGTTTTAGACTTGCACGAGGTAAAGAATCAGCATAGTGATGTTTTATAAAGAACTCAAGGAAATTTTTCTATCGCAAATGGCAAAGTAAAGTAGTAAGTGCACAACACTGTAACGTACAATTACCAATCAGTTTCCAAAGTGCCTTCCCATGCAAGCCCATCAACCCTGTCCGACTTGGAACTATTTCTTCACACTAGACATAAGGTAATACCAGTCCTTAAGATGGTAATTGTGATTTGGACTGGTTAAGTTTCAGGGTATGTATGGAAGACACACTCTAGGTAGCGGGGAACATTAAGTGACACAAGCAGTGATATGACAGAGGCACTTACCTCAGCAATCTTCAACACTGAACTCCCATTCAGCTCAAATGTGGAGGTGTATGTTATACAGAGCAAGACCTTGAATCAAAAGAGAAGGAGGAAGGAAAAACATTAAGTTACATCCACTGTTGTCTCCCTTCTCCACCCATGTGCTTTTAGCCACAGCTCTTTCCAGTTTTAGAGCAGACATCAGCAGCTTCTTCACATTGCATGTTACTGGGATAAAGGAGAAGGCACAATCAAGTTGCTTCCTCCTGAGAAGCTGTAACTGTTGGCCCCAGAGGTACAACACAATGGATTATTTATTGCTGCCTCCTACATCTGACTACAGAAGGAAAAACAACCCAGTTATCAACTCTGGCCTTGGACTTGATTGCCAGAATCCATTCTTATTTTAACCACAAGCTTTGCATGATTTATAATCAGTCATTCCATTCATTTCCATTAGTATAACAAAGGAGGAAGGCAAAAATACATACAATACAAGTTATTATGTAGGTGACAGAGATATAGATATATATATTACCTGAAACAAGCCATTAATTACGGCTTGATATGAGACTTTCACAGCCTAGGATATTTTCAATAAGTGTATTATAGTCACTTGATAAGGAGCAGCTAAAAAACAATTCATAAGCCCCAATTCATGAGGGAAGCCTTGTCCTGTCTTCAATTCAGCAGGAGTGAAAACTAAAAGCCCCATCCAACACCTTATTTTGAAGAGAAGGGGAGTGGGAATGTAATGTGATCTACCAGGAATAATGTGGTGGGTGAGTGGGGCAGTGAGGTGAGAGGTGGTGTGATGCCTTTAGTGTCTGGAAGTGTCCTCTCCCTCCCCATCTTCCTTTCCAATCCCTCCTGTCCCACAGAAGACCGAGAGAGTGTGAACTACTGTCCTCTCTCCTTCAAAGCACAAAATTAACCCAGTGCCAGAATTTATGTTTTGCTTGGTCTTAAATAACATGAATTTTTTGGGATAAGCATACCAGCAAATATCAATCATATTAATACTAATGTATTGTGCCTACAACTTCTCAGCCCCTAAGAACTACCATCCTCTGCTTCACAAGGAAACCTGGGGCATCAGATAAGTTAGCATTACTGGCTGTTAATTATTTTTCTTATTTATTACATGCTTTTCAGTAGTACTAGGTTTTTGTTTTATGGGTAGGTTCTGTGATAGCTACTAATTCGCAACACCCTAGGGTAACCTCCTTAGCCTAGAAAGCAAAACAAAAAAGCAACTTAGCCACAGTGTGTCTGATCAGAGCTTGCAAGTCAAACAAAAAAAGGAGACAAAGGGATGCATGTTTGGAAAGATTATTTGGTTCCCATAAAGCATAATTTTTCTGACCTTTTATTGTGTTGTACAGTTTCCACATAACGGTGGAACAGCAAAAAATTATAACATAACAACTTGAAACAGGAAACTATATCATCTCTCAGGTGCAAGCTGTATCTTCTCTCTAGGTAGTGATGATTTCTAGAAATATCTCAGAGCCTTCATAAAGAACAAAAAAAATGCTGATGTGCAGGTTAAGAGAAGCAGACCACTCTAATATAGCACTGCTTAGTATACTAGAGCCACTGAACACCCATCATTACTACTGAATCTCTGTTTGAAAGAATACTCCTCTTTGCATTTATTTTGCTCCAGGGAGGGGGAAAAAATCCATTACTGAAAGCAGGCATTTAATAACTCTAGGGAAATTTGAAATCACTGTACAAGAGCAGCTCTCAGCATTAGCTACTTGCTCTTACAGGTACAGACAGAAGACCCTGTCCATGGATGAGTGTGCCATTTTTCTAGAGATGGACATAAATAAGCTTTGCATTTTGAGAGTCAGACTGAAATGTTTCTATGTATTGAAATGCACTGCACCTTTACAAATGTTTTTCTCAGCAGATAAACTGTATCTCACTACAGGATGTCACACTTTACTCCAAGGTTCTGGGGTTTTTTGTTTGTTTGCTCCTTTATTTTGTAAAGAAAATAACAGTCAGGAGCTTGATCCTATTCTTACAGAAGATGGTTTACGCTAAAAAGTGTTCCAAGAAAACAATTATGTAATGGCAACTTTGAATTTGCTTACGTATGTTATCTTGCCTTGACTCTCACTCAGTCCTTCATAAATAGAAGCTGAGTAATGTGGATAAATACTAGACATAATGAAAACAGAAAAAGGCACACTACTCTTCTGAAGTACAATAGTCCTGGACTATGATCTCTTTTTTAGATATTTAGCATTTACTTTTAGAGCTAAGCAAAGTTTCTGAGCCAAGTTTCTTCTTCATAGTTTCCCTTTTCCGTGAAATGGTCAAAATGGATTTTCTCATCTTAGAAATTCTTATACAAGCTATAGAGCACTTGAACTTGTTGGAGAAGGAAATCTAAATCTAATTACAAATGATTAAGAATGCTGTACTTGTATTTCTTGGTATGAACTCTGCAAATTTCTCTGCAATCTGCTGCATTTGCTGGCACCTGGACAAGTGCCAGTGATGAGGAACAGTGATACCTTTTTTCCTGTCCACAGAGCAAATTCTATAGAATTGCTGAAAACCAAACAGTCGATTACAAAACCCCTCAATAATCTAATCTGGTTAATAAGTACATATGTTATAAGGACTGTTATTTCTATCTGATGCTTAGTCCATACCCGCAGAATTTAAAACTTCAAAACCAAAGAATTTTGTTCGGTACTAAGTGAATTCTAAACTACTGGTCGGCCTCACAGCCAGCTGTTGGGCCTCACAGCTGTTAACTACCATGTAATTCTATTGACATTGCTAATAGTTGTGAGAACTCAGCAGCTGGCTAAAAAAAATACATATGTTCAGCGTTTAAGGAAAAACTGTGGTTTGTACTCTCCATACACTGCTGTATAAAACACAGGTGTATCACATGGCTCATAACCCCAGAGACAACGGTCACTTCCCACTGACAAATCTCTTCTTATTGTGCTAAGAGGCAAGATGGGTACCCAGGCCCACAACTAATCTTATTCAGTGGTTTGCATGTCTTGATTTTCCCTACTTGTAAAACCTCATTTGCTTCATATGATTTTCTGCTCTCTTATACAAACTTAGCTTTGTACAGTTTGTTAATACCTGATGCTTTCCACAGATCAAAACCCAGAAGCCATATACTACACCAGATGGAAGTGCACACCAATTTAGGCATTCTTGTAAGCCCTTACTCTTCTGAATCTCTTCTACTCCCTTATTTTTTTTTTTATATAAAATACCCTACTTTTATAGAGCTGAACTGTGAATAGTTTGCACATGTATGCCTAATCCTTTCTGTCACAAGTGCCAATAACCTTCTTGTAACAGGTGAATGATAGAAAAGTCAGATATCAAGCACAGTAAGGAAGTAATGATAAAAACCTTGCTAAGAAGCAATAGGGAATTTCAGCAAAAATACTGCTAAGTTTTGACTGCTACTCTTTATAGAAAGTGAGATCTAGGAACCCACTAGCTAGAGGAAGGGCATGTGATCTGATGTGATCAAATGACAGAAGTGTGACAAGTTACTAGCCAGCATGTTCTTGGCTTACTCCACTTGCTACCATCTTCCCTCAGAAATCATTTGTGAGATCTGAAAGATGGTCTCTGACCAATGCACAAGACTGCTCTCAGCTATGCTTTCTATCAGCATCACTGCAGGGCAAATTTACAGTCTTGGTGATGCTCCAGACACTCAACTCATGCACCTTTGCATTTCTGTAAAACAAACAGGAGACCGCAGGCTTCTTTTTTTTTAGATTACTGGGTGAAAAATGGGATTAAAATCAAACAAAAACAAACTTAATCATTGAGATCCACTAAAAACACTAAGTGTCCAGACAGTATATCCCATAGGATGCTTAACTACTCAAGACACTAACTCAAGCAGGTTGTATTTAAATAAATCAAAGAAAAGAAAGATAGGTTTTCTTGGGCAATGACATTTTGTTTTTGCAATCACTGGTAGTGGAAGCAGAAACAAAACTACAAAGCAATTCCTAGTAACATTTTCAGTACAAAACAAGATTGAAAATCAGCTTTTACTGTGTGTTACTGTGATGAGATCTTAACTGGTATAGACTCTAAAACACTTTTTTTTTTTTTTTTTTTCTTCCTTTCTTCCTTTAAGGAAGGAATTTACATGACTCTGGAAATCACACAACTTCCAGAATATTTTAATTGGCTTGCATTATCTTGCAAATGTCCGGATGAGATCACATAAATGGCTTATCCATAATGAAAGTATTCATTTCAATTACTGTTGAAGCTCTGACTGTCATGGAAAAAGAAATACAATTCCTACTCCCTGGAGTTCCATGGTACCAACTGTAGTATAACAGCACACATGGATAGTTTTCACAATAAGTAGAAACAAAAAAAAAAAAAACAACCAAAAAAAAAAGGTGCTTCTGATAATATAATGAAGGTCGAATGACACAAAACGTATAGTATTTGAGCTGCAATGTAATTAGACTGACATTACAATATCTATCCCATATTTTAAGAGAGCTCTCTTGAAGAGAAAAGAAGGAACATTTTTAGATTTTAAGATTGCTAAGTGTTGCTCACCAAGTTCCCTAAGTGCTCAGTGCATATTTGTAGTAAAAGGCAATTCTCACGTGGAAGACCTTATGGTGGAATCACATCAAATGAACAAGGTGTGTAAGAAAGCAAACAGTATCCTCAAGATGGAGAAAGAAGGAAAAGGTACAAAACTTCAAAGCAACTGTAATCTGTCATCACTTGAGGATGTTTCAGCACTTCACTGAATTTAAGTGCCAAGTCCAACATCCATACACTACTGCTATCTTTTTTCTATTCCAGCACTCAAAGTCCCATTGGCAAAATCCTCTGAACATTTGTGCTTCTCCTAGTTGGGATGCACACAGACACTTTAGTCTTTAAGACTGCTGAATTTTGCAGCCACCTCTAATCCCTTTGCAGGATTCATAGAGGAAGCCTTTCCTGATTTAACTGTACTTGCAGGCATGTAAACGTGGATGCAGTTTATGCTTGGATGATTCTTAAATCCTCCACCCAAGAGGAAAACCCAGCCAGAAGACAATGCA